TGGCATGTTCAGAGACACAGACCAGCAGAACAGCATACACTGCCCAGAGGGAAATCTGTGCATACTGCAGCCAACCAATGTTTGCCAAAGATGCTAGGAAGAGTCTGGAGGGGGAAAGGGCGGCCTTTCCAGCAAACGCTGTTGGGGAAATTCGTTATCTACGTGAAGAGAACAAAACAAGGCCCTGCTCGCTCACCCTGTATGAAAACTGAAGCGAAGCAGATTGAAGGCTTCCTTAATCATGGAGCTTGAGGACGGTGACATAGGGACAGTGCTTTAGGATGTGGCAGTGGGCAGCAATTTCTCTTGGAAAAGATGCCAAAGCACGAAACAGAAGCCAGATTGTTGGATGGCATCACATCAGCCTGAACAGCTTCTGCACAGCAGCAGAAGAAACTCACCAGAGTGAACAGAACAGAAGAAAATGTCTGCAGATTCTACATCTGATGGGGTTGATGCAAGACTCCAAGAACTCAGTAGCAAGACACTAACAGCCCAACTCAGAACTGGGCAGAAGACCTAAATGGATGTTTCTTAAAAAGATGTATACACAGTCAGCGGGTACCCGAGAAGCAAAGACACCACAAATGCTCAGCATCGCTGGTGATCAGGGAGATGCGAATCAAAGCTGCCGGGTGACTGCCTCATCTCCTAAGCCTGGCTGGTATCAGAAAGACAAAAGATGGCAAGCACTGGCAAGGCTCTAAAGCAGAGGGCCTCTGCGCTCTGGTGGGAGGAATGCAAACCACTACAGCTGTTTTGGAAAATGGTCCTGCAATGGTGGTGAACCTTGTAGCACTTTTGGTGTAAGTTTGGCTGTGCATGTGCCATCATTTGCCACCATTATAGAGGTTCCTCAAAAATTTAAAAAAATCCCATATAATTCTACCACTGTCCTGGGTCTGTATCTAGGGAAATGAAATTCATTTGCTGAAGAGACAGCTATGTTACCATACTCACTGCAGCACTATTCTCAATGGCCAAGAAATCCCACCCAAGCATCCAGCAGCTGATGAATGGATAAGGAAAATGTGGCGCATGTACACAGTGGAATATTATGCAGCTACAAAAGGATAAAGTCTTGTTACAGTGAATCAGGTACAGAAAGACAAATGCTGCATGGCCTCCCTCATTTGTGGAACCTAGGCTGACTTCATAGAAGATGAAAGTAGAATGAAGGTCACCAGGGCTGGGGTGAGGGGAGGGAACAGTTGATAAATGGGTACTGAATTATAGTTAGAAGCAAAAAGTTGTGTTGTGCTGTTTTATAGTAGGGCGAGTACAGCTAATACTGCAAAAAGCTAGAAGAAAGGATTTTGAAAGTTTTTGCCATAAATGGTAAATGTTGGAGAAGCTACAAGAGGTGACTGAAAAATGCAGCGAACTTTTAGGTTAAACATTTATTACACTAAAATTCGCGTCACCATTAATCCTTCTCAGAATCTTTCCCCTCCCTTGGAATGTGCTCCTCCCATTGTCCCACTGCTTTCTGAAGCAGTTCTGGAGTCCTCTTCAGAGTCATCAGAGGTGTCATCAAAGATACAGTGACTGCTGCCTGTGAGCGCCCGCCATGCATGGAGGGCAGCTCGTAGCTACAGGACGCTGCGTTCTCCACTACCTTATTCACTGGGCCTGGCGCAGTACAGGTTTTGGCTCCTCCCCATCATCCAAATGACCTGGAAAGGGAGACAGTGTGAGTGCATTCAGGCAGCAATTAAAGAATGAGGACAGGCAGGACTGCCTCAGAGGGCGGCCAGAGCAGTGGGATGTGTTCCGAGTGAGGGGAGGATGTAGAAGGGGATTGATGGAAATATGTTCTTTAACAAATTTTTAAATTTCACACATACCATATTTTCGATAACACCTCATAACTTTAATTTCATTTAATCATTGCATAGTGCATCAAAGTATCACATTACATATCAATATGTACAATTTTTATGTTGCATGTGTTGGTTAAAATTAATAAATAATAAAACCCAAAATGGAAAAATCTGGCCTGGCAATGTTTTCCTCAGAGGATGTAGTCTGTATTGAGTTGGGCTGTATTTTACTCCTTTGTTGCCATCTGTTGGATTAACACAAGGTAGTTTACAGTTTCTTGGCCTTGTATTGACCTGTGAGCCGTACATTACTGTTCTCCTGTTGAGCGGTTGCTGTGGCAGTTGAAGCCGCCTCCCTCCATCTAAAGGGGCGCTGGCCCATCGGCCTGTTTGTGGCAAGGCCCTGCACACTCATCTCCCAGCTTCATCGTTTCTGCTGAGACATCCCCTGGGGGTGTGCTTTTTCCGTCATTTCTCATGTCTGTGGTTTTCGGCAGCCTTATTGTGACGAGCCTCCCGGTGTGGGTTTGATGGTGTCTCACGTGTGTTGTATTTGCAGGGCTTCTTGAGTCTGGGGTGTTGACATAATCCAGCAGCTTTAAACAGTTCATGTCATTCCCTTAAAGTGCTGCCTCTCCTCTGTCTGGGTTCATGCAGGCTGCTTTTTAAAACGTCGAAGGCTGGGAGCCTTTTGAGGAACAGATCGATTCCTCCCACCCGGAGGCCGGAGGTCCAGCCCAGGAAGGCTCAGCGTTGGGACCACGGTGGCCCTCTCCTGCCGTGTCCTCATGTGACAGTGGTGGAAGAATCTTTGTTCCATCCCTCAACCTACTCACTCGCGGGGTCCTGTCGCCTAATGCCATGGCTTTGGGATGAGGATGTGGGAGGCACACAGACATTCATGCCACCAAATCCCTATCCCGTTTCTCTCCACTTAGGATTCCACCTGTGTGCCCTTAGACATTGCCCTGTGTCCCTTTTTTCCTCTGGCTTCTGGAGTTTCCATTATTTCTTCCCTGCTTATTTTTGTTTTTGCAATGCTGGGGGTTGAACCCAGGTCCTTGCACATGCTATGCTACATGCCAGTGGGCCCTCTGGTCTGAGTTTTCCATTGCCTGTCGTTCGTCCCTTAACTCTGCCTTCAGCTGTCTGACCTCCTCAGGTCTCAGTTTCTGTTGTTCAGTTCTAGAATTTCCACTGGATTCTTTTATCACTCTTGACCCTCTGGCAAAGTTCCCCATATTCCCATGTATTTTTTCGGTTTTTCTTGTACTTTGAACATAGTAGTCGTGGGTATTTTAAAGTTGCTCTCAGGGCTTGCAGATCCAGCCTGCTGTGTCACTGTCTGCGTGGGGTTTTCCTGGAGAAGCCAAGCTCCTGCCTGGTTCCCAGCCCCCACACTGTGGGGACCCCATGGGCTTTTAGAGGCTTCTTGCTTGGCTTCCTGCGTCTTATGCCTTGTGTCCTTGCTTGGAGTCCAGCAGATGTCTGGAGGACGAGCTGGCCTTTCTTCTCTCAGCACCCGCCTCTCATCTGATTCTCCCAGCACAACTCTGCCAGTCCCTTGGCAATGGCCTCTGCCTGGGAGGACTGCAGATCCCAGCCTGTGTGCCCGGAATGCAGACAGTGGGAGGGTGCTGAGGGTGCCACCCCCACCGTGCAACCCAGCTCTGCTCTCACTGCTGGTCTGCCTGCTCCAGCACTCTGACTCCCACAGGCCAAATTGGCCCTTCAGCCAACTTCCCTGGCCTCAGCCTGCCACACCACCCCACCCCCACCCCCGGGCCGAGGTCCTTTCCTCTGCCAACTTCCTGTTAGTGTGTCCTCTGTCCCCGAGCAGTGAACAGGGACCCCTGTGTTCCCACAGTGCTCCTAAGGAGAGAGCTCTTGCTTTCTCTGTAGTGTGCAGTAGCCGCTTGTCCTGCACCAGCCCAGCCTGGTCCCCCAGTACCTTTCACACATGTGTGTGCATGTGCTTGCATGCATGTGTCTGGCTGTGAACATACCCTAGCTCCGTGGAGTGGGTGTAACTTCTGGGTGTTGGTGAACTTCTGGACACCCACTGGAGAGTCCATTAGCGGAGGGAAAGTCCTGTCCCAGGGCCAAGGGCTCTGCAGTGTCCTGGGAATGGGCACTGGATGGCAGAGTCTGGAGCTGAGGCCTTGAATCTGCATTGGCCCAGGCCAGGCCTGTACTGTGCTCCTCATCCCTTGATCCTGGCTCAGGCGCTGTGCGCTGGTCACAGAGGGGCCAGAAACCTGGGAAAGGGGGCCTTTCAGAGTCCCCTAGGGTAGCCACAATGATGGGGAGCACGAAGCAGAAGCGTACGTTTTCAGAGTGGGACTGGGAACTCTCAGTGTGTGAGGGGCTTCAGAGCCCACCCTTTTCCTTTGCTCTGCTTGGATGCCTCTGGCGATGGGGAGCTCAGCACACACTAGATGCCTGGGTCAGGTTTAGATAGCTGTAGTGGACACCCCCAGAATCTGCTGTAGGTTGGGAGGAATGAACACTGTTCGCTGGAGGTCTGGCCACTGCTGCACCTCACATCTTCTGCGTGGAGCCTCATCCTTCAGACTCCAGGACCTTTGGGTGAAGCAGCTCCACAGCCTACCCAGGAGCCAGCCCGAGAGACCCTCCAAGGGGCTGCTGCTTCGTAGTTCAGGGGCCAGTTTTAAGCAGCGAATCACTTTGGGGTGGCCGGCCTCGCCCCTGCTAGTTTGCATTTCTGTATACTGAGGCCAAGGTTGATGTCACATAGCTGGGGACACAAGTCCTGAATCTGTGGCTCCCCCAAGCTCCCTGATTCATGCTGGCTATACTGGGCCACTGTTGCTTGGGGCCAGACTGCTCCAGCCACTGACAACTACCCTGGCCTGTCACAGAGGATGCCCTTCCTGAGAGGCTGCTTGAGTTGAGGTGCACCTTGGCAAGGCCACTGTAACAGTGGTCACCTGCTATTTCTTGCGTGAGGCTCATTCAGCACTTCTCTTCTCTGGGCTCTGTGCTGTTGAAAGTCACCACTTCTCACCGGAAGTTCCTGTTCTGGTGGGCTAGTACCTTGTACATGTCATTAGGTTTAAATGGAACAGGAAGTCCCATGCATGGTTCAGCCAGCAACCAAGCTCCCACTCAGCCTCTCTGGATCCCACTTCTAATTCCAGGTTCCCTTTTTCTCAGGTGTCCTCTGCCTTCGTTGGAGCTCCTGCCACTGCTGGGAGTGACCAACTGAGGCTGCAGAGATGGCCGGGGCCTCGGTGAAGGTGGCGGTGCGTGTCCGCCCCTTCAACTCCCGGGAGATGAGCCGTGACTCCAAGTGCATCATCCAGATGTCGGGAAGCACCACAAGTGAGTACAGACTCAGCTGGGTAGGGTGCTCCAATGCCGCATGCCACTGGCCAGCCCCGAGCCCTCTGTGCCAACGCCCTGCGTGAGTGCTGTTGTAACAGACCACTTAGAACCACTCGTGTCCCAGAATCCTGGAGGTGGAAGTCGGGCCCGGTGGCTGCACTGCCTGTCTCTGCCTCTGCTGCTGTGTGTGTCTGAGTTTCCACACAGCCTCATTGTGAGGACCTGGATTCCACCTAAATCCTGTTCGCCTCATCTAAACAGCTGACCACGTTTTTTGTTTTTGTGATACTAGAGATCAGACCCAGGGCCTTTGCACTGAGCTACAACCCAGCCTTCTTTTTATTTTATTTTGAGACAGAGTTTTGCTAAGTTGCTAAATCATCACTAGGCTCGAATTTGTGATGCTCCTGCCTCGGCCTCTGAGAGTGCCAGCATTACAAACATGCCAGCATGCCTGGTTCGGCTCCCTTTTTAAACCCTGTTTCCAGATCAAGCCATGCTCTTCATCCCTGAAGTGCAGATTGGAGGACACACTGTTTAGCTCAGCACACACAGCTCCTGCCCTGGCTTCCCCCATGCCCATTCTTTCTCTGTTTCTTCTTGTGAGCCACTGGCCCTCTGATATTCAGGAAGCCTGGGCAAATGTGAGGGAAGGGCCGGGAAGAGAGAACAGCAATGTCCAGTGACCAAGCAGACAGCACCCCACCCCCCATCACTGAGCTCCTAAGCACCAGGATTCGCCAGCCAGGGGTGGGATAAAGGGACTGGCATCTGAGCTTCCTCTTCTCTGTCTTCCACTGGAAAAGGCATGCAGTGAGGTGTTGCTAGGTGCAGATACCCAGGGACTCAGTGGTCCCCATCTCTGTGCCCTCTGTTCCTTCCTTCCACTATGGGGAGCCACTGGCCTGGCCCTGACACCATGGTGGCTCAAGCCTGGTTTGAGGTCCTGTGTAGACTCGTTCTGCATCCGGGCTATGTATGCTGGCAGATGTCTGCCCTGAAGTTCGCAGGCCGTTTCATGAGGGTGAGAATCAGCTGCCACCTTGGTTCTGTGGCTGTCTGGGCTCCGTGTGGACCCAGGTCTTGTCTTGCCATCACCCTGTGCTATGATAGCAAGTGGTTGGCACCAACAGTCTCCTGGTTATTGGGCATGGGAGGAAGGCAGGGCCTCACCACCCATGACACCAGCCGTCGCAGCCTCCTATCCTGTGGACCTTGGACTCCAAAGCGTGCCTGGGGCAGGGCCTTCTGCTCTGCAGGAAGGGCTGCCCGATGTCACTCATGCCTACTGAGGACCTCGAAGACCCACTGTCCTGTAACCTTACTCTGTGTGAGAAGCCCCAGACCCCACAGCTCTGAGCCAACTGGGTCGCCATGATAGTTGCTCCTGCCACAGACCTAGGACTGGCCTGGGCATCAGCAGTGGCTGCCCTGCCCTTTCCTCTCTGCAGCCCACATCCTTGCTTACAGAAGGGCAGACGTGGGAACTTCTAGAAGCCTCTGCTCAGCCCTGGTGACAGATCTCCCAGGCACACCAGAGAATCAGTCCGATGGTGGGGCCAGCCGCTATGCTCCCTGCTCTCTGGCTGGCACCCTGGCTAGTGCCCTCAGTTTTCCTGTCTGTGCTGTAGAATTCTTCCCTGACTTTGGTCACTTCTGAGCCCTTGGCCACACAGGGACACCCTGGGGTTGAGAGTGGCCCTGTCCCCACCTCTGCTGTGCAGGCGTGACCTGGGGCCTGGATACTGGTGTGGTCATGGCCAAGACTGGATCCACTCCATGCTCAGATCCACTCGGGATGTCCAAGAGTTGGGCAAGCACAGCAGGGAGATGGTGCTGTCACAAACTGAATGGCTGAAACTGTTGCCCCATTGCCTAGAGCCCAGGGGTGGAGACCAGGCTACAACAGAGTCCCTAGGGTTGCCTTCTAGAGCAGATGGGGTCTTTCAGCATTTGGTGGCTGAAGTCTGAGGCTCAGGGGCCTCAGGCTTAGTGTTTGTGAGGTCTTGTCCCAGTTTGTACATGGTGATATGTGTCTCCCCGAATCCTTGTCTGGGTTGGGTGCTCTGATCTCTTCCATTTCCCATTAACCCTCAAGGCCCCCAGAGGTCCTCACCCTCATGGCCTCTTCCAGGCCTGTCACTCCCAAGGTCTCACCTCTAGATACCACCTCCACAGGGTCCTGGGGTCATGGCTGTGTCTGCATGGGTTCTGTTGCCTGGCAGCAGCTTTGTCCCTCGCTTTGTGTGCTGCTGGCTGCAGGGGACATTGAGACCTTGGGAGCGCTGCTGAGTCAAGTTCATTTCCCACCAATACACAATACCTGGCCCGCCCCCACCATCTTTCCCTCTGGGTGGCCATCCTTCCTGCTGAGTGGCTGTCCTGTGCAGGTCTCCTTTGTGTGTCTTGCCCCAAAAGGGCCCACCTCTGGGCATAGCAGGGCCAGGGTGGGAAGGGTGCAGCTTGTCGAGTGGCCTGATTTCCCAGCCTCACTCCTGGAACTTCTGCTGGAGGCCTTGGTGAGGGAAGCACCCCCAGAGGACCCCACTATCTCAGTGGGAGGGAGGCTGTCTGCCCATGCCAGACCTGGGCAACACAGGGTTCCAGTGAGGCTATTTCCTCTCTGGGGCTTTGGACCCCATCTGTAATGATAGAGTGTGTTTCCAGTCACCCACCTGAGCTGGGGGTGGGAAAGGGTCAGACAGGTGCCAGGCCTGAGGAACCGTCAGGTGGGGAGCCGGGGATTCTCCCGATGGCCACTTGCAGTTTGAGCCTGTGAACTCTTCCTGCTCAGCTTGGGGACCACCTGTGGGAGGGCACTACCGTAGGTTGTGGGAAGGAATGACCTGGTCAGACGCAACTGGAAAACAGTGTAGGGCTCTGCAGGCCCAGCCTGGTGATGGTCATGGGCATCTATGGGCAGCAGAGGCCACCACAGAGAGAGGCGCAGAGACAGCTCACCCCCTAGAGTGAAGCTCTGATCCCTCAGCATGAGGATGGGGTTTGCCTGGAACCAAAGAACTCTGAGGTCCTGGCTTCTTGCACGGTGTACAAACTCTGGCAGGCTGGGTCCCCAGCTTGGTGCTAACCACCTGCCCATGTCCTCTCCCCACAGCCATTGTCAACCCCAAGCAGCCCAAGGAGACACCCAAGAGCTTCAGCTTCGACTACTCCTACTGGTCACACACCTCGGTGAGCCAGGGCTGGGGCAAGCAGGCTGACAGCATGGACACTGCCCTGCCCTGCCCAGTGTTGGCCTTCCTGAGTCCTTGGCCTCCCCGAGCCGCACAGTTCCCTCTGAGCAGAATGACAACCACCTTGTTTCCTGAGGGTTGCCTGCAGTTAACACACGTGCTGCCAGGACTGAGGGACAGGAATGTCCATTTGCCAGCTGGGGTCTCCACTTGCTTCACATCCCAAATCAGAAAAACCCATAGCTGAACCCAGGGATTCGCCTCCCACCACATGTCCAGTGCCCCACTGACCCCTGCCCTGTCCTCCTTGTAGTCCTTTTAAATCCCTCAGCACTACCCATCACATTTCTACGACACCCTCATGTCTCCAAGCACCTGACCCCCCACTTCCATCCAATCTGACTTCCTCCTAGGGTGACGCTGCCCCCTATCCTTTGGTCAGCACCATTGCCCAGCTGGGTCCCTGTGCCCACCCTCCCCATGTCATCCCTGCCACTGACACCCTGGCTGGCTCTGCTAGGATGTCCCCACCCTGTCCCAGATGCTTCCCATTCTTCACTTGTGATCCACAAGGCCCTTGCCAGACAGGACTGGCTTGGGTGGGCTCCTCTCCCCATGGTGCTGTGCAGCCAGCTGGGCATTGGGCCCATGGCCATGGAGCCTCCTGCAGCCACACCTCTCCCACCCGCAGCCCGAGGACATCAACTATGCCTCACAGAAGCAGGTGTACCGCGACATTGGGGAGGAGATGCTGCAGCACGCCTTCGAGGGCTACAACGTGTGCATCTTTGCCTATGGGCAGACGGGTGCCGGCAAGTCCTACACCATGATGGGCAAGCAGGAGAAGGACCAGCAGGGCATCATCCCCCAGGCATGGGCACAGTGGGCAGGGAGGGGCGACTTGGTGGAGCACTGGGGGGCCGTAAGGGGACTGACCCTGCATGGGGTGGCTCAATTCTTGAGGGGCTGGGAGGGCTGGGGCAGGAAGTTGAGTCCGGGGCCTAGGATGACCTAGCACTGAGTCATTGGCAGCCCCTGGGATGCCCCCCCCACCCTTCCTGAGCCACTCACTGCCCATCACAGGGCCTGGGGAGAAAGTGGGGTCCTCATGGGATGGTGCGCCAGCCCCCCATGCAGATAAGGACAGGGCGGCGGCAGATGACCCATACAAAGGTCAGGTGCCAGCGGGACCAGGGTTGGCTACAGCCCTCCTGGTGCCTGCACTGTGATGGGGGCCTGGGTGCCAATGGTGCCACAGGAGCATGGCTCCAGGAGGCCACCAGCCAGCCCTTGCTCGCTGACCATGTGCCCCTGTCCTCATAGCTCTGTGAAGACCTCTTCTCTCGGATCAACGACACAACCAACGACAACATGTCCTACTCAGTGGAGGTAGGCCTGCTGCCCCTCTATACCCCATGAGGCTGGCTGCCTGCTATGCAGGATTCCGAGGCTTCCCAGGCACAGGGTGACAGTTGACATGGGCTGAGCACTTGCCCTGTGCCTAGCACACCGCAGAGCTTTGGGGTCAGAGTGACGCCAGGGGCAGGGGCTGCAGGGTGTGGCCTGGAGAGAGCCAGTAGGAGACCATGTGCTGACACCCACTTGTGTGAGCCCATGGGCCTGGTCCTCAGTGCCCTCAGCTTCCTGCTGGGCTGTGTGTCACCTCGATGTCCCTGATGCCCTCCTGCCCCGCAGGTCAGCTACATGGAGATCTACTGTGAGCGTGTCCGCGACCTCCTGAACCCCAAAAACAAGGGCAACCTGCGTGTGAGGGAGCACCCCTTGCTGGGGCCCTATGTGGAAGACCTCTCTAAGCTGGCTGTCACCTCCTACAATGACATCCAGGACCTCATGGACTCAGGGAACAAGGCCAGGTGCGTGGGAGGCTACTCACCGGCCCTCTGGTCTCTGCTGGCCTGGTTTTTGGGATCTGCAGGTGTCCTGATGGCCCTGGCAGTCCTCTGAGAAGGTGCAATCCTGGGCATGAGGCCAGCAAGGTGAGGCCCTGGGTCCCTGTGGGAGGGTCCGTGTTACCACCGTTAGAACTGCTCCTCTGAGGGCCATGGCCCCATGGCTATGGGGGCAAGAAGGGTCAGCAGCAGCTGCTTCCTGTGGAGTGGATCTGCCAGGTCCAGGAACCAGGGATGTGAGGGTCAGCACGCGGCAATGGGCTCGCAGGATGTGTCTACTGCCCAGCATGAACAGTGCACCCGCCTCGGCTACCGCTGCCTTGGGCCTCTTTCCTAGGATACTCTGGTTGTCATGCAACAGTAGACCCTCCTCCGTGCCACTTGGGGGCTCAGGGGAGGGTGAGGTGATTGTTCATGCTGCCCTGAGCTCCTGAACACTGTGGCAGCCCCGGATATTCTTCCCTGGCCTCTGGAAGCCCCTGTGGGTCTCTGTGACCCCTGGTCCCTGGGCAAACCCTGGGCCACACACACAGTGGACTGAGTCTTGGGGAGATTTTCCTAAGGACCCCAGCGGGTTGAGCAGCACCTGAGCAGCCTAGGCTCCTCAGGAAGTCTTTGGAGTCTATCCCCCTATGACCATATCCCCCAAGACCCCTGCAGGTCGAGGACCTCTGTGGTGGGCCAGCAGAGGCCGTGCTGGTGGAGGGAGGCATAGCTATCCCCAGGCCAGCAGAGCAGCCTCACAGGCTAGGGCTCTGAGGCCCAATGACCTGGTCCCAAGTTGGCACTGCGATCCCAGTGCTGACTACAGGGCAAGCAGTGACCTCAGGTGGCTTCCGGTTCTAGGACTGTGGCGGCCACAAACATGAACGAGACCAGCAGCCGCTCTCACGCCGTCTTCAACATCATCTTCACCCAGAAGCGTCACGATGCGGAGACCAATATCACCACGGAGAAGGTGAGCTGGGGGTGCAGGGCGCGGTGCCCCAAGGGTGATGCTGGGGTGGCCTGGGGGGACTGTAGCTAGGCAAGGGCAGCAAACCAGATGCTGGCTCCCGGAATGTGGGCAGCATCCTGTGAGGCCCACCTCATCACAGTGTGGGGTCGCCTGGGCGCACAAGGCCTTAGGTCCCAGGGTCCGGCCTCTCTACCTCCCACCAGTGGAGGGAAGATTACTGAGTGCCCTACATGCAACAGGGCTGGAACAAGGCGGCCCTGCCCTGCAGCACAGCACAGGTGAGCAGCGGGTTGTGCCAGTGGCCACCCAAGAGGTGTCCGTGGCCCTTGGTGCAGGCTGGTAGGGCAGCCATTCCTGCCCGCACTAGGGCCTCCAGTGGGTGCTGGCATCTCCAGGCACAAAGACACCCTGTGTTGGAGGACTCTGCCCTGCTGCATCTGCCCACATGCCTGGTGTGCTCAGTGCACAGGGCAGGGCTTTTCTGCCCACATGCCAAGCTATGTGCCCTTGAAAGGGTAGCTCGGGGTCACTGAGCCTCTTGTCCATGGCTGTGCCTTTCTGTCCCCTTCTTCTTCTGCCCCTGAGGGCCAGGGGTGGTTGGGGTCGTGCTGTCCCCTCCGCCACCTTCCAAGGTGGGAGTTGCCCTTGGGGCTGGGCAAAGTCTGAGCTAGGCCCTGATAGTGCTGGCACCTCAGTCTGGTGTCATCCTCCTGACTGTGACAGTGGACAAAGAGGGGAGGCCCAGAAAAGCTGGGGAGGGCCTGGGGCCGGTGGGGCCTGTCCAGTTGGTGCCAGATCAGCTGGGGCCACCAGGGTCCCACTGCATCCACGGCCTGTTAGATGTCCTGCGGCTCGCAAGGGCTGAGCCTCCTTGGATGCTCGTGACCACTTCTCTGCAGACTCTAGGGGGAGCTGGGGGACAGCCAGGTCCTCTGAGGTGCCATCTGTGAAAGCATGAGCATGCATAGAGCCTTGCTCTGTTGCACGAAGAGCAGCTAGGAGACGGGTGGGCAATGGGCCTTGGGCAGGGCCTGGCTATGGCTCCACAGAGGCTTTGGGGCCCTCGCTGAGGGAGCAGATGCCTTGCTCAGCCCCTCATGGCATCCACCTTCCAGGTGAGCAAGATCAGCCTGGTGGACCTGGCCGGGAGCGAGCGGGCTGACTCCACTGGTGCCAAGGGCACACGCCTCAAGGTAGGGCTGTGGCACCAGGGCCCTCATAAACAGTGGGTTGCCGGGGAGGCCAGGCTGGGCAGGGCAGGAGGACAAGGGGTACCAGCTAAGGTGAGCAAGGCCCAAGGCCTTGCTGGATGCAGTCCTCTGCAGGGCCTTCACAGCCCTCCCATGAGGAATGCAGGCCTCCCATTTCCTGTACCTGTTTTTGACCCCCGCTGTGCTCTGTGACTGGGATGGGGCCCTGGAAGTTGTACCAGGTGGGGATGTGTGTCATGTTGTTAGGATGCCCACGGAGCTAAGAGACACACTGGGCAAATGGCATCCCTGGCTGGGGGGCCTCCAACTAACTTCCTGTTTCAAAATCCCCTGCCCTTGGTGGCCCTGGAGGTCAGCAGTACAGGTTGGGGCTCAAGCCTAGGCAATGAGCTGGGCCCGGGGGACCACAGTGGAGCCAGAAGCTCCTGATGCCTCCTGACCTCAGCTGCCTTTTCCACACATAGGAAGGCGCCAATATCAACAAGTCCTTGACCACACTCGGCAAGGTCATCTCTGCCCTGGCAGAAATGGTGAGTCTGTTTGGCCTCCAGAGCTGGGTCAGCAGGATAGACTGAGGGGGTGGCCTTTTATATGTGCTCTCCAAGGAAGGGGCAAGGGCCTGGCTTCCCTGGGTGTAGGACCATCTCTGGTGAGATGGCCAGGGTACACAGGAAAGCCGGAGATGGGAGTAGTGCCAGGCTGAAGATGGAAGAGGGGCATTTGTATTCCCCAGAGCCTCAGTTTCCCCACCTGTGAAATGAGAGTGTGCGCCTTCCTCAGAGGGGCCTTTTGAGGGTCTGCATGGGTCATGGTGAGCAAGACAGTAGTCAGCTCTGATCTGGCCATTCTGAGGGGTGGCCATGGTTCTCAGAGGGAAGGCTGGACAGAGGTTCATTCTGGCCATTCTGAGGGGTGGCCATGGTTCTCAGAGGGAAGGATGGTCCTAGAGGGCAGGTGACCTTTCCTGTTTCCCAGGATGCCAGGCTGCAGGCCAGGAGAATGTGCTCTGCACCTGCCCCTACTCTGAACTTTTGGGCATCAGAGGGTGATTACAGGGTGATGGTCGCCTGAGCGGTGATGCTACCCTCTGACTGCCTGGCTGACAGTGGCCAGGCATGGCTGGCAGTGAGAGGTGGACACCTGGTGCAGCCCACGCTGCTGACCTGAGCCAGCCTCTTCCCTGCCCCATGCCCTGGGCCCGGCCTCACTCTAGGTCCTCACACTCTATCCTTTTGTTTCCAGGACTCTGGACCCAACAAGGTGAGCTTCTTCCTTTACCTGAGGGGGAGGGCCTGGGCTCCCACCTGAGCCCTGGGCTCGATCCTCACACTGGGTCCCTGAGGACAGCACAGTCCCCCACCTACTGGGTGCGGGTGTGGAGTTTGGGTAGACAGTAGACACGAAAGCAGAAAAGGAAACACACACAGCTGAGGATTGGAATGGATTCTGTGGAGGAAACAATAGCTGTGAAGGTGGCCTGGTGAAACAGTCCCAGTAGATGGGAAGGTGTCACAGAGGGGGTGGCCTCAGGCAGAGGCCAGAGGCGGACAGCAGGCAGCTGGCTGGGGCAGCATCCAGGCCACTCTCCCATGTCACTGGATGGGCCAATGTGACATGCAGAGTGGGAGAGGCTGGTGCACATGGGGAGCAATAGGAACAAGGAGAAATAGAGGAAATGTGCACATGGATGTGCAGAACTGTGTGGGGAACAGTGCGGGGAAAGGTGTGGGAAAGTGGGAGAAGTGAGAAGAAGGCGGGCAGCTGTGACACACTGGAGGAGACTGTAGAGAAGTGGAGACTGAGCAAGCGCGCAGAAATGTGGGAACCGCACGGGAAGTGTGTGAGGAGGTGTGGGAAAGTGGGGAAAGTGAGAAGTGTGTAGATTACTGGAAGGCCATGGTAGACTCTGAGGAAGTGTGTGAGGAGGCACGTGAGGAAGTGTGAGAGAAAGTGTGTGAGAGGAAGTGTGAGAGGATGTGTGTGAGAGGAAGTGCATGAGGATGTGTGTGAGGAAGTGTGTGAGTGGAAGTGTGGGGGTGGGTGAGGCCCAGCTGCAGGAGCTCCGTGAGGAGTGCTGGCAGTGTGCGTGAAGCTGTCTGAGGAAGTGTGTAAGATTTGGCAAAGTACATGAGGACCTTGGCTGTGGGCTCCATCAGAGCCTGGACAGTGTGTGGCCCTTGCGGAGCCGAGGTCCTGTGAGAAGGAGGCTGCGACACCCTGCGTGTGTGTCAGGTGCCATCAGGAGCTGAGTATGGACTGGAGCTGCAAGCAGTGTGTTGTGCTGGGGATAGTGGTGGAACTTTGATGGTGCCATGGGGAGCCATATGTGGGTTGTGTGGGGAACAAGAGATGCAGGAAGTTTCTGGGGATGCAGGCAGAGCCTGGTGACAGCGGTGTGAGGACACTGTGGGGCGTGAGAGACATGGGCTCAAGGTGTGAGCACCTGAGTGGGCAATGCGAAGGTCACGTGGTGGATAGTGAATGGAAGTGTGTGGCTTTGTGGGAAGGTGTGATGCTGGGTTGTGACAGGTTTTAAAGAGCTGTGTGGGAAGCATGAGAGGACCCTGAGGCCCTGAGAGAGCCCAAGAGGCAGGGCAGGGAGCTCTGAGGAGGCCTCGCAGGGACTTCAGAGACAGGGACCCAGTGGGGCCTGCCATCACCCCGAGACTGGGATGCGTATGAGGATGGAGGAGTAGGATGGGATGAGGGCGGGTGGGATGAGGGTGCATGTGGGGTGCTTACTTCATGTCACAGGCAGGGAGTGAACCTCAGAAAGCAACAGATCCAGGCGCAAACTAGAAAGTTCCTCCTCTGCCAACCCGGAGAGAGAAATGGGAGCCCTGCACACGAGAGCTTGGGGCACTGCTCAGGGAAGCCAGCGTGGCATCACTGCCCTACTCTGGTGGCACTGTGACCATCCTCGAGCTGGCGTCCCTGTGGCAGGAGGGCACCTGGGACCACTGCCAGCATAGGGATGAGCATGTCCGTTTGTACCCAGGGCAGCGTGCCATTTGCATTGTGGGCTTGGACAGAGCCCGCCCTTGACCCACAGCAACGCTTTTGTGCCCAGGTGGGCGCAGACCAAGGTGGCTGACATGCACGGTGTGTGGAGTCAGGCCAGTCCCTGGCACCTTGGTTTGGGAGCTGCTGTCTGCCTTGGCAGGAGCAGGGCTATGAAGCCACTGTGGGGATAGCAGCAGGCCAGGGAGCCAAGAGAGAAGCCGGGAGCACTGTGGGGATGGGCCTGGAGTGCCACTCTCACTAGTGCCTTTGCCCTTCAGTGAGGGAAGTGGCCACGGGGCTCCAGGCAGATGCCAGCCGCAGCTTGGCCCCTCTGACAATGGAGCGGGTGGCACTGGGCAGTGTCCAAGCTTGGCTAGCTCATTGTGAGGGGAGGTGAGGGTGGCCAGCTGGTCCCTGTCCCAGCCTGGAGCAGAGGGACCTGAAATTGGATGTGAATACACCTTGAGGACGCAGCAGGTCAGTGCAGCCCCAGCCCCCCACTCTGTCCCTACAGAACAAAAAGAAGAAGAAAACAGACTTCATTCCCTACCGAGACTCGGTGCTGACCTGGCTCCTCCGTGAAAACCTGGGTGAGGACTCGTGAGTCCCTGCCCCTGGGGTACCATGGCTTGGGTACAGCCATCTTCCTCCCAGGGTCCCGCAGAGGGGCCTGCGCTTTTCACATAGGGCTGCTCATGCCTCAGCTGTTCCGCAAGGCTGGCCTGGCAGAGTAGGGCAATGGCCAGGCCACATGGCCACCCAGCTTTCATGGCCACCCCCTCCAGGTCTCAGCAGGTACCTGGGCCCCCATGGTCTGGAGTATCCTGCTTGCCTGTTAGGCTGAGTCCCAGGCACAGGAGACATGTAGGGAGGTGGGGCCCATACCAAGCTCCCCCTTCCCAGTGTCCCCAGTGTCCTTGGAGTCCTCAGTGCAGAAGCTGGTGCACAGCTGAGTCCTGGGCTGAACCCCTGAGGGCCTGTGGCCCTCCTTGCTGCTTGGCTGTGCCCCCCCACAGCTGCTGGACCAGCATCCATGTAGGCCTCCCAGATGTAGGCTCTCGGGTTGGTGCCTGACGGGAAAGGACAGTAGTGTCACAGGAACACATGTCTCCTTTCCCTGAGATGTGGCCTGGGGAGCAGGCCGGCCCCCCAGGGTGGGACAGGGAGAACCTATCTTGAGACTGTGCAATGCCCCCGGAGCCATCCCATGGTCACCTCGGTTTCTGTAGGGACACAGGTCTTGGAGATTGAGCACATAAGACCATGTGTCCCCAGCTGGGCATGTAGGTGGCTCCTGAGGGACAGGCAGGATTAGCAGGGCCTTGAGGGCACTGCCACCTCCCCAAGAGGGGACAGGAGCTGCAGGTGTCACACAGTGCAGCCCCGGTCAGGGAAGCAGATGTTAACTGTGGGAAAGAGTGACCAGCACAGCCTTCATCCTGGGGGAAATCCCACGAAGTCCTCCACAGAGAGGGTGGCCTCAGACATGAGGGGAGGTGTGACGGGAGTGCCTCTGGGGGTGATGGGGCAGCAGGGAAGCACAGTCCCGCTGTCTCTGTACCCTGGGTGGGCTGTGACTCAGTTTCCTCTCTGAGCTCAGAGCCCCCATCTGTGAGTGCAGCTGAGATGGCAGGGAGACCCAGGCCCGAGGCTGGGACCCTCTTGCTGATCCTGGTGGCCTTCCCACAGGTGGCAACTCGAGGACAGCGATGGTAGCTGCCCTGAGTCCTGCGGATATCAACTATGATGAGACCCTCAGTACACTGAGGTGCGTTCTTCGGGGACCTGCTCCTCGCCCTACTGGAGGGAGCTTAGGAGCTCCTGTGGGGTGCCCCCGCAGGGCTCACGGATTCTGAGGCTAGAGGTGACTGTATGGGGGCTCCCGGGCTACTCTGTCCCCACTACTCTCAGGGTGCCCTCTGCGACTGTGGGTGGCCCAGCACCCTGAGGGACTAGGGTGGAAAAGCTGCACTGCTGGCCGTGGGGCCTAGCGGAGAAACAGCAGCAGTGCAGCATTGGGCTTGGTGGACTCTGGCTTCTCCGAGCATGTACCCTGGTGCATGTCCTGTGTCTGATGCCACCTGAGCCTTGGTGTCCTCAGATGCCCAGCAAGGGGGGCTGGGTGCACAGTGGCCATCCACAGCACCCCATGAGGAGAGAATGCTCATGGTGCCAGGCTGGGCTGAGGCCGAGTGCACACCCAGGCTGGCTCCCAGGCAGGGCTCTGGGCATGCCAGGGCCGGGCATAGGCCTGCACTTTGGCCCACACCTCCCTCGGCTGCCCAGGTACGCTGACCGGGCCAAGCAGATCCGTTGTAATGCCGTCATCAATGAAGACCCCAACAACAAGCTGATCCGAGAGCTGAAGGATGAGGTGACCCGGCTTCGAGACTTGCTGTACGCCCAGGGTCTTGGTGACATCACGGACAGTGAGTGTCAGCACCCACCAGTGTCCAGGGCTGGGCCTCAGCCTTGTCACACCCTCCCCTAGGGCCCTGCCTGCCAGCTGTGACCAGGCCTGGGAGGAGGGGGAGGAGGAGTGGAAGCAGCCAGGTCCCTGTCCCTGCCCAGCCTCTGCTCCTGTTCCTGTCCTCTGGCAGGCTTCCTCTGGGTGGGAGGTTGAATCTTCCGGCCTTGGCCTGGGTGGAACTGCCCAGCGGGGTTTGGAGCTGGCCGAAGCAGGCCCGGTGCAGCTCCTGGGGCCCATGGCGGCATGGGTGCTGGAAGGTGAGTGGGTCCCGTGCCCACGTGGAGGACCTCCAACACCTTCCTGTGGCCGCTCGCCTGCCTGTGGTCTGGGCGTGCAGACCCTCTGGACCCAAGCCTGCTCTTCTGTTTCTGTCTCTCCCCACGCCTACCCTCCCCGTAGCCAACACTGTGCCCGGAGGACCCAAATGTGTGTATTCCCCAGTGCTGCTCTGCTCGGCTTCTGCCTGGCTGCAGGGACACAGGGCAGCATGGGTGGGGTGGGTCCTTGGCTCCGCCCTCAGACCTACAGAGTGGGGGACCCCACTCCAGATTCATCCCTGTCTGTGTGGAACGGAGACAAGGACAATGGGATGCAGCTTGGCCTTTCTGGCCACAGTGGCAGAGGTCAGACCTTTGATCCTGTACAGACAAGGCCTAGAAAGGTCAGAAAGCAACGCCCGAGGACCCATTCCTCTGCCTGCAGTTCAGGCTACCCCTGCTGGCTGGTCCATACACTCCCAGTGGTGCTGCCATGTCCTGCCTAGCTCTGTGTCTCCCTTGGCATGGGGCTCAGTCCTCTGGGTCTCCCTGGTACCCATTGCTGCCCTGTGCTGGCTGCTGCTCTGTGTCTGCTTCTGCGGGAAAGCGCTGGGCACCCCTCCTGGCACCACCCCAAACTCCCAGGCTGGGAGTCCTGGGCAGTGGAGGACAGGGCGTGCCCTCGGGGGCCCTCTGCTCCCCTCCTCTTCCACATGGTCTCTGGGCTGGTCTGCTTATTGGGGCTGGATGGTTGGTGCAGCCCTGCTCCAAAGCTCAGAGAGAGTGGAAAGGGCGGCAGGGTCTGGGGTGCAGCAGAGCAGAGGCCAGGGGCATGCTGAGCTCTGGGCCCTTGGTTCCCAGCTGTGAGTGGCCTGGCACACTTGGACTGGGATGCAGATGCAGAGCCCCAGGACAGAAGGGCAGAGTGGAGCTCCTGGGGTGCAGAGGGCCTGGGGACATGGGCATGAGAGATGGCAAGGCTTTGCATGCGCTTGTCCCGGCCCTGCCGGGCTGCTGCTGAGCGTGGTTTGCGTTTCCGACCTTCTCTTGGCCCCACACCTGTCCTGTTCCCAACTGTGTCTCTCTTTTCTCTCCCTCCCGCCTGTCTGTCCACCTCACCTGCCTCAGACTCGTCCGACCTTGAGAACAATAACCGTAACCGTATCGAGGCCATCCTGAGTCCAGCCCCTGACCCTCTCTCCACAGTGACCAACGCGCTGGTGGGCATGAGCCCCTCGTCTTCGCTCTCCGCCCTGTCTAGCCGCGCGGCCTCCGTGTCCAGCCTGCACGAGCGCATCTTGTTTGCCCCAGGCAGTGAGGAGGCCATTGAGAGGCTGAAGGTAAGGGCTGGGTGGACCTGGGGTGCCGTGGGGGCAGGGGTGACCTTAGAGAGGAGCCAGGCTTCACCCTTCCCGGGACTCAGTGGTACCAGCCAAGAAGGACACAGAAGGTGCTGTGGCTGAGCCCCATGGTTGGGGCTGGACAGGGATGGCATCTCCAGGACTCCTGCTTCTCCCCTGGCCCCACTGGATTGTTTTGCCTTCCCGGTCCGGCAGCATCCGCAGGCGAGACCTGCATCCTTGGGCTATATACCTTGCTCTTTCTGCCTCGGCTCGCAGATGGGCCCAGCTCTCCTGGCACCCATGTCTCTGTCCCCACCTCAACACCAACCAGGACCTCATTCTACTCTGTTTCACTCCCAGGAAACAGAGAAGATCATTGCCGAGCTCAATGAGACCTGGGAGGAGAAGCTGCGGCGGACGGAAGCCATCCGGATGGAGCGGTGAGTGTGGGAAGACAAGGCCCGGCACAGCCAGGGGTTCACACAGCCAGGCCGGATGCACCCTGGGGAGGCTATGTCCCTGCCTCGGGACCCACTTGTCTCCTCTGACCTGGTGGTGCCTCTTGTGTGGTGCTCCCTGGGCAAGTGTGTGCAGAGGTGTGCTCCCCTGGAAGCTGCAGCTGGTTGACCAGACAGGAGGCTGCCAGTCACCTCCCAGCAGCGCTCAGGCAGTCAGGTGGGGCTGGGGGCAGTCCACAGCCCTGCTGACCTCAACTCTGTCCTCAGGGAAGCCCTGCTGGCTGAGATGGGTGTGGCCATGCGGGAGGATGGTGGCACCCTGGGAGTGTTCTCTCCCAAAAAGGTAAGACCTGGGCCTCAGTCCTAGAGCTGCTCCAATGGACAGGGACACTGTCCAGGTGGCTGTCACAGGCTCCCAGGCAGAGAGAAGAAGAGCAGGGTTCTGACCAGGCATGAGGTGGCCTCCCTGCCTTGCAGGCAGACTTCCCCAAGCAGATGGGATGTTTTTAGCTGTCTGAGGCTGGGATGAGACCGGCAAGCCAGGTCTGGACTGTAGACCTGAGCTGTGTAGGCCTGGTCCGCTAGAGCCACACCAGCCCTGCCTGGCCTGGACAGGAAGCCCCCCCACACACACTACTGGCAAGGTGGGCTGGGTCTGGGTGGGGGCTGACTTTGCTCCCAGATTTCTGGTTGGAGCCGGTGGCCTGGGGAGGGTGCTCCCTGGGCAGGTGAGTGCAGAGGTGTGGGTTCAAAGGCTCTTCCTGGGAGAGCTGCTTCTTCCTGTCTTCTGTGGGGTCGGCCAGGCAGGGAAGGACACTGTCAGGACTGCCAATGGCCTGGAGAGCAGGAAGAGGTCAGGTGGAGGGGGTGCAGCACAAGCTCCTGCCCTCCCCAGAGGAGCTGACCCTCCTGTTCCCTCAGACACCGCACCTTGTCAACCTGAATGAGGATCCACTGATGTCCGAATGCCTCCTCTACTACATCAAGGATGGGATCACCAGGTGGGAATAAAGCCTGACTTCGAGGCCAGCCCCTGGGGTGGGAGTGGGGAATGTGATTTCTTCCGGCAACCCCTACTGCCCACCAAGAGCCACCGAGCCTGCCCGCCGGGCACTTCCTGAGCCAAGCCGTGTCTCCAAGCCCCCCAGATTCCTGGGTCACACCCAAGTGTTTTCCAAGAAAACTCAGCCTCACCCTGGGGACAACTTTGCTAACACTGTCTTCCCCGCAGAGTGGGCAGGGAGGATGCCGAGAGGCGGCAAGACATCGTCCTGAGCGGGCACTTCATCAAGGAGGAGCACTGTGTCTTCCGGAGTGATATGCGGGGCGGCAGTGAAGGTAGTCCGCCTGCTAGGCCCAGCTTGCCTGCTGTGGCCGGGATGTGTGTGTGTGCACGTGTGTGACAGCTGGGGATGACAGTGCTTGGGGAAGGGTCCAGGGTCTGCTGCAGCCTCTCTGAAGCTGTGGAGACAGGGGAACAGGAAGCATGTGTCCAGGACCAGGTGGGGCACCCCTGGACAGGACAGTGAGCTGAGGAGAAAGCGGGCTCTGGGGTAGAGAGCTATTCTGGGACAGTACTTTCCTGTTGGCTGTGGAGCAGCCATCTGTCCATCTCCTCACCTGCCCCACCTTCCTCCAGAAGGTGACACTGCCTGGCGCTAGTGAGCCTGTGGCATTGCCATGCTGTCACTGTCCCATGGCCCCGATCCCAGGTGTCTCCTGCAAGTGTCCAGCCAGGCCTGCAGATCTCTGACTCAAACCCTGTGTCCACCTTGGCCACTTCAACTCTGGGACAGCTGTCTCCTCCAGAATGTTCTTTTTGCGGGCCCCATCCCCCCATGGCACCTTCACCATTGTTTTTACCTGTGTCCACCTGAGTCCTGGATGGGGCAGCACAGCCTCCCCACCTTGAAACCCCCGGGCCACTTTCTTCCTGTGCTAAGTCAGGAAAGGCCCCCATCCTGGCTCCTCCAAGGCCCGGACAGGGTCCGTCAGTGTGGTCAGGCTGTGCAGCCAGCAGGAGTAGGGGAGCTGAACCCCACAGTGACAACCCCTTGCCATTCCCCTCTTCTCTTCCCATAGCTGTGGTGACACTGGAGCCCTGCGAGGGTGCAGATACATACGTCAATGGCAAGAAAGTGACAGAGCCCAGCATCCTACGGTCAGGTAGAGTGGGGTGTGCAGGGGCAGTGAGACGGGCACCAGGTGAAACTACTGTCCCTAGGCCAGAGTCGCCTCTGCTGCCTGAGAAGCCCTTTGGGGCATGGCCTGCTCCAGTGGCATGGGGTGGCTGCTACAGCAGGGCTGGGTCCAGGGAGCACGGGACAGAGGCTGGGCCAAGCTGAGGTGTAATGGACCAATCATGTGACTTCATCCCCTGCTCCTTGGGGCCCAATGTACACTCCAGGCACACAGTATGCAATCCCTGCTTAGGAAGGTCAGACAGGTTGGGCTTCCGCGAATGACCAGGCTGCCTGTGCTGGAATCTGCAGAGACCAGAAGCAGCGGGGCACAGGTAGGGTGCAGCTGTGGTCTGTAGACCTAGAGGCACAGAACTGAGGGCTGCAGGTGTCACTATACAAATGCACAGGCAGAAAGCCATGGCCGGTGAATACTGACACAGATGCACAGGTGCAGAATCTTAGGTTGGTGAATAGCGAAGTGCAGACACACAGGAAAGGTTTATATCAGGGAATTGGTTTATACGAGTGTGGGCACTACTGACCAGGACTGAACCCATGGCAGGTGGCAGGCTAGAGTCTGTGGGCTGGAGAGGACTCCAGCTGTAGGTTGAATGTTACCCCCACTGTGGTCAGCTGCTGCAGGTGCAGACCACCTGGACCAAAGCCACAGCCAAGCTAGACCAGGTGGAATCACAAGGTGGTATAGCCTGGCGGAGCTGGCAGGTAGAACTTCCAACAGTGTCAGCTGTGGCTGGGTGTGAGTTCTTGACCTGGAACCTGGGAGCAGGGAGGTAACAGCAGCCACCTGATTTCTAGCCTGTGGCCACTCCTGAAGGCCTTTGGCTTATATCAGGAGCTATCAGGACTGTCCTGTCTTTGCAGGACATTTTGGAGGAAGGACCCCAGGAAAACCTGAACCTGAGGGTCACCCTGTCAGCTGTATGGGCCCTGGGGCTCGGGGATGGTCTGGGCTGAGTGGCCTGGGCTTGGATTTTCCTCTCAGTGCCTGAGCCAGAGGACAGGGAGGCTGGGGGTATTGGCCAGCCATGTGTTGACCCCAGACTGGGATGGGAGGGGTATGGAGGCTGAGTAAGCTGGGGGAACAAAGCTGTCCAGGGAGCTGGGCAGGAATGGGCAAACAGCAGGTGCCACCCTGCGGGTCAGTGTGCCTAAGGGTCTGCAGACTGGTGGGCCCAAGGAGAGGCCAGGGAGCCAGGTGGGAGGGCCAGACTGAGGACACTGGCACCTTACAGTCCCCTCGAGGTCTGGGAGGAGCAGCTGGACAGGGTGGGCCCTGGCCAAGAAGCCCCCTCAGAGCCACTCTGCAGAGGACGGACTCAGGCTGCCTGCACCATGTACTGCCCATAGAGAAAGGGTGGTGGGAATGTGGGGTGCATGGAGGGCACCTTGTTGGGGCCCTGATTTGCACAGCTGAGCCCCCATGTCTGTGGACACTGCTGCTGAGTTGGGGTGTTGAGGAGATGGATCTAGGAGAAAATGCGCTTGCCCCGAGGTGGGGAGCACAAGGAGCTGGGGTGGAGGAAGTTCGTGTACCCCTCTTTCCTCCTCCCAATGCCCCCAAGAGCCCTCCTGGGACCCTCAGGACCCCAAGGCCGGCCTTGCCTCCTCCTCAGGAAACCGCATCATCATGGGCAAGAGCCATGTCTTCCGGTTCAACCACCCCGAGCAGGCCCGGCAGGAGCGCGAGCGCACACCCTGTGCAGAGACACCTGCAGAGCCTGTGGACTGGGCCTTCGCACAGCGTGAGCTGCTGGAGAAACAGGGCATCGACATGAAGCAGGAGATGGAGCAGAGGTGAGGCCTGGGCCGCCTGCTTGCCCACGCCTCCTACCCGCCCCCCCCCCCCATTGCTGGCCTGTGCTCATCCACTGTGCCCCCTAGGCTCCAGGAGCTGGAGGACCAGTACCGCCGGGAGCGGGAAGAAGCCACTTACCTGCTGGAGCAGCAGAGGCTGGTGAGGACACCCCGGCCACCCCAGGCCCTGGCACTGGGGCCCCGGCCCTGCCTTGCCCTTTCCTGTCTGGCCCCAGCAGGATAGGTGAGGCCACCTGGGTGTCCAAGGCACTGGTGAGCCCAGTCCTTGCCTCTCTGCAGGACTATGAGAGCAAGCTGGAGGCGCTACAGAAGCAGATGGAGTCCAGGTACTACCCAGAGGTGGCCGAGGAGGAGGAAGAGGAACTGGAGGATGAAGGTGAAGGGCCTTTAGCTTTGGGAGCACTGCAGGGAAGGCTTAGAGGGCTGTGCTGATGCAGGCTGCTGTGCGCACACACGTGTGCACACACACACGCATGTGCACTCATGCTGGTGCTGGCAGGGGGTGGGACCCTGGGTGATGGATAGAGTGCACCCCTTGAGACCTGGAACGAGCGTGCTGCACTCTGAGGCCTCCCTCTAGGGCATGGGCAGAGACACTGTGAGGGGAGAGGTGTTGTCCCCTAGCGCCCCCCCACCCCGTTGGCCTGCTGCTGTGTGGCCTGCAGCCTGACTGTGCTGCAGGTTCCCCAGTTTAGAGACCCTTCTGCTCAGTGGACCTTTCCTGGTGCCTCCTCCTCACACTGAGAGCTATCAGTGTGACTTTGAGGCCCCACATGAAGCCCAGGTCCTGTGGACAAAGGGTGGCTGAGGCCTCCAGGTGTACACAGAGCCCCGAGCCAGTCCTCCCTTCCGGCCAAATGCTGCTTGCTGGGATGTAAGGTGGCCCATATGGCCTTGCTGGGTAGCTCTGCTGTCAGAGTTATGGTTTTCCCCTGGTGACCTGGTGGCTTCCCCCACAGTCCAGTGGACAGAGAGGGAGTGTGAGCTGGCACTCTGGGCCTTTCGTAAGTGGAAGTGGTACCAGTTCACATCACTGCGGGACCTGCTGTGGGGCAATGCCATCTTCCTCAAGGAGGCCAACGCCATCAGTGTAGAGCTGAAAAAGAAGGTAGGACTCGGCAGACATGTAGCCTCCTGCCTCAGCCTGCATGTGGCAGGATTGCCACTCATAGCCAGGGCTTGGCACAGGGCCCCTACCTCAGCTGGGAGGCCCTGGGACTGGCAGGGGTGGACGCCTGGCCCTCTCTGCTCAGGAGGTGGCCAGACACCAGGAAGGGTGCGCGGCCCCTTGATGGCTAGTCAGGAAGCTTGGGGAGCTTGTGATGGAGTACAGGGCCTAAGCCTCTGAGGGCCAGGAATGAAGCCTCCCAGGGAATGATGAAAGTTACTGCCCATTGCAGGTCCAGTTCCAGTTTGTCCTCCTCACGGACACCCTCTACTCCCCCCTGCCACCGGATCTGCTGCCCCCAGAGGCTGCCAAAGACCGAGAGACACGTCCCTTCCCCCGCACCATCGTGGCTGTGGAAGTGCAGGACCAAAAGAATGGGGCCACCCACTACTGGACACTGGAAAAGCTCAGGTGTGGCTGGTGGACAGTGGGATTAGGGTTAGGGATGAAGTCAGCTGGGCGGGGTCCTGGCACTGTGGGCATGCGTGGTTGCCATTGTTTCTGTCAATGGGGTTCTTTTAAATGAGGAGAGTGGCCAGAGCACAGAGTCATGGGATTGTACTCTCCTAGCAGCGCAGTTGGACACAGAAACAGGTTGAGGGGTTTTCTCTTGGACAGACCTTCCCAGGCCTAGAGTGTACCGCCAGGAGAGGCAGCATCATGGCACTGCAGTGGGGCCTGGAGGCCAGTTGGCGTCACCAGGGCAGCTGCCCTAGGGCACAGGAAGTTGTACCCCACCATACCCCACCTCAGCTTGCTGTTGTGCCCTGGGAGTTGGGGAAGCTAGAAGCTAGTTGGGGGTTCAGGAGCACCCATAGGGAGCCCCATTGTTCTTGGGATGCAAAGTCTTTCCCATGGTTGGCCTGGTGTGGGAGGACTGTGAGACAGACTCCAGGGAGGTGAGCCAGGCCTTAGGAGCCTAAGGCCAGAGCTCCCCTCAGGGCCAGGCCTGGCCCAGCTGTCATCTGCCCTGCTGCCTGGGTGCAGGGGGTGTGCTGGCTAGTGTAAGGGGTTTGGGCACTCTGCTTGTGTACAAGGACCTGCCTAACAGCTCAGCTGTCCATGGGAACCAGATGGACTGGGCAGGGCTCTCCCTGGTCAGCAAGGCCTTAAAGATGTTGAACGTCAGAGACGGGAAAGCTAAAAATACCATTCACACGCACAGGCTCCCACGTTCTCAGCCTATTTGTACACATCTTGGCAGACATGCATATGTGTGCACACACACTCCCCCACCCCCAGCATGGCTCCCTGAAGGACAGAGAGCCACCTGTGTGCAGCCTCTGAGGCCCTCGAGGGCCCGGGGTTTAACCCCACAGCCTGGCCTTCCCTGGGATGAAAGCTTAGGAAGCATCTGCTTGCCATCCACCTCTTGCCCGCACTCCGTGCTCAGTGTTCCCTGGAGCGAGCCCCATTTCTGAACTTCTGTGCTTCTGCTCACTTCCCAGCCACTAGTGTCTGGGCAGGCTTGGGAGGACCGTGGCAAAACCTGTGACGCAAGAGAGGCCTGGGGGCGGAGGGAGGGTCCGGCCAGCAGGGACCTGAGCCTGGGTGGCCAGACAGTGGGGTGGTGTGGGCAGCAGGGCCATGCCAATGGCCCCGGAGGAAGAGGAGGAGGTGTGTGAGTCTGGGCTGAGCTGAGGCCCACCCCGACCCCTCACCCTGTCATTGTGCCCACAGGCAGCGCCTGGACCTGATGCGGGAGATGTACGACAGGGCCGCAGAGGTGCCTTCCAGCGTTGTTGAGGACTGTGACAATGTAGTGACTGGCGGGGATCCTTTCTACGACCGCTTCCCCTGGTTCCGACTGGTGGGCAGGTGGGCGCCTCCCCTTCCCTGGCAGAGAGTAAGGCAGTGGGACAGGGAGAGTGGGAGGAACCCCAGTTGCATAGTCTCTCCCCACAGACCCCTTCTCTTCAGGGGCCAGAAGTGTCTTGGCATAGACACCCAAACCCTCATGGGGCCACAGGGCCACATGTCCATGTGTGTGAATGTGCAGGGCTCCCAGGAGGGGCAGCTGTTCCAGGACTCTGGTGGTCTTGGGGTGGGAATGTGGAGATGGCTGTGTCACCAAGCCTTTGAGGCTGTAGCAACCACCACCGTGTCCCCTGGGCTCTAGTCTGAGGTCTAGGCCAGCCCCGACTCCACGTGCCTGTGGTGTTCTCAGACCTCAATCAAAGCGATCGGGGCCCTCGAATGGCCTTGGCTATGCCTGGCCAGGACCCCTGTTCTCAGTCACGTGTTGGTGATTTCTGGAACTTTCTGGAACCTTCCAGCTGGTCACATGGGTGTTTTTATTTATTGCCAAACCTGGGGATAGAGCACGTTTTTGGTTCTCTGGTCTTTTAAAGCAGATGGTGTTCTTGATGGTGTGTATCTGGTTTTGGTTGGAAACAGCCCCATCCCACCCCACTGCCCACCCCGTCCTCCTGCGAGTAGCTGGTGTTAACTTCTCTCTGTCTTGTCGTACTAACCTCAGTTCAGTCATCTCTGGCTGCAACAGCTACCCTCTTCTCAACACATGCATGAGCGAGCGCATGGCTGCTCTCACCCCCTCCCCCACCTTCTCGAGCCCCGACTCCGACGCCACCGAGCCTGCCGAGGAGCAGAGCGTGGGGGAGGAGGAGGAGGAGGAGGAGGAGGAGGAGGAGGAGGAGGAGGACCTGGAGGACGACGTCTTTCCGGAGCGCGCGCTGTGCAACGGCCGGGACCCGTTTTACGACCGGTCCCCCCTGTTCAGTGTAGTAGGAAGGTTGGTGAGGTCGAGGAGCGCATGCTGGAAGGAACCAGCTCTTCTGCACGGGAGCACTGCTGTGGGCACCGTGGGCATCAGGGCGAGATCCCGGGCCCTCCCGGCCAGGCAGGCTGAGGGCCGGCCTCTTGCTGAAGCTGGGGAGCCTTGTGCTCCCTGAGTCCCCATCACAGGGCAGAACTGGTCTAGGTACAGAGAGTGACACTGGGTGGACCTTACAGCTTGGAGCCATTTCTAAGCAGGTGGGGCTATTGCTAGGGAACAGAGGCCACAGAAACCTGAGCCGCACTGTGCTTTAGGCCTGCCGCTGGGCATCCTTATGCGGGGTGCAGGACCATCTGAGAGGCAAGGCTGTCCGTCCCCCGTCCTGGGGACCAGCTTCATCCTCACTGTCTGAAGCTGAGGCATTTACATGCACTCAGCGCACCTCTGCCCTGGGACAGGAGCAGGCTTTGGCCCTCTGCTGCCCTCTGAAGGTGAGGCCAGGCTATCCTGAGCTCCCCCGGTCACCATGGTAAGGGCCAGGTTGGGGGCCAAGTGTCCCCATGGCATGTGCCCTTTGCAGAGCAGAGCTAATCATCATATCCACCAAGTAGGCAAGAGAGGCCAACGTCAGGAGACAAAACAGGCTACAGGAGGCTTAGGCTTGAGGGCATTGTTCTGCAGGCAGATTCTGCAAATACATCCCCTGTTCCTGCTTTATCATTCCCTAAGGGAGGGAGAAAGGACAGGGAAAGCTCTGGCCACAGGAGGTAGCCGTATGTGAAGAGCAGTGAGTCTTAATTCTTGCAGCCTTCTGTGGAGTTCAGGATGGCTCCCTTGCGCCAGGCAGTGGAAGCTTCCAAATGTCTTCACCTGGGGCAAGCACTGGAGCTGGACCCTGAGGGTGGCCCTGCTAAGCGGCCTTTCCTCCACAGGAAGAGATGGTGTGAAAGGCCAGGCAGTCATTGGTTCGTGCAGTATATCTGGGACCTGCTCTGGTTCACTTCCCTGGCTGGCATTAGGCTGGGTTAGGTGTCATGAGCTGGCCTGCTGGACTCCAATAAGAAGTGTCCCTCTGAGATGCCTGAGTCTGATCTCCCACTCTACAGGGGCAGGGAGGGAGGTACAGACCCAGGACTGCTCTCAGAGCTTTATCACCACACCCCAGCTGTAGGGCCAGGCCTCCCACCTGTGTGGCCGGGAGAGGTTCCGGGTGTCAGGTGGGTGAGGGGTCAGGACACTTTGGGGGCGAGAACAGCACAGGAAATGGGGTGTGGGCTCTGCAGTCTCAGCTGGAAAGAGCTGGGTCCTTCCAATGTTTTTCCCCCTCTTGTGGATTGAGATTTCACAAAACTCCCAAACTGACTAAAAGTCACCCGTAAGAGGTCCGGCCCTGTCTCAGGGGTGGCCTGTGACGGGCTCCATTTGACACCACCCCGATCTTTTTGGTTTGGCAAGAATTGGCTTTTCCCGCGCAGCACTGTGCAGGCCCAGCCTGGGAAGGACCTCCATTGAGTTTCCCGTCTCCTTCTGGTAGCTGCTGGCTCTCTCCAAAGCTTCAGCAAAATTGGGGTGCCCACTGTTGCCCCCCTGGAAAGGCTCCCTGGGTCCCAGCATGCATCTTTGCTCCTCACCAATCTGTGGTTAGCGCTGCCTCCTCCCTCCTGCCTGCTGCGCCCGCCGCTCTGTCCGCTCCGCCCTCCTGTGCTCTCTGGAATTTCAGTCTGCTTCAAGGCCCCTCGGCCTCGGGATGCCAGGGGACAGGGAAGGCGAGGGCTGGGCATCTGCTGCCCAGGCTGAGGAAGTCAGCCTGGGTCTCTGATTGGTCCCACCTAGGTTAGATGGGGCACAGGCGCATCAAGCATCGTGAGAGCTGAGCGCTGGGCAAGTGTCCCAAGGCGGAGTACGCTCTAGGTAGTGTCCAGGGCTGGGTAGACAAATGTAGACCTGGCAGGAGGCTACACCACATCAGCTCTGCCACCTGGGCTCCCTCAGCCCCCGTGCCAGGCCTCTTGGACAGCATGCCTGTCAATGGTGTCCCTTGGGTCCAGAGAGCAGGTGGGTGGTATGTGGCCAGGGCTGTGTTGTGCCCCTGAAGTAGCTGGCATGGTGGCAGGTTATCTGTGGCACCTGGAGGATAGTCCCTTGCAGGCCTGCAGCCTGTACCACCTGGCCCCATTGCCTTGTCCTCCAGATGTGTCAACCAGGTGGACCCCAAGTGGGGGTCTTCTTGGCATGGTTTGCACCCACTCGAGGATGGTGTTGCACTGGGGTTTGGGTGCTGGGCCAATGAGGTCCCTGCTGGCTGAAGGAGACCATTGCTGTCACCCGGTGGACTGAGACCCAGACTGCAGCTGGTGCCCCCAAACACTGTGAGAATGTGCTGCTCTGCCCAGGGTGGGCTGACGAGGTTCAGAGAATCAGGGAGGTTTTGATGAAGCCCTTAGGGACTTCCTCATTGTAGGACCCCATCCCCAATTAGGAGGTCCCCAGAGCCTCCGCCTGTGGGCCCTGCCTCTGGGAACAGCCTGTGCCTGACACGGTAGTTTGCAGCTGGCTGTGGCAGCCTTTGGCACTATGGTGTCTGGATTCTTCTCCTCTGCCAGGAGACAGTTCTGAAATGCTGAGGCAGGATGCTCTCCTTAATTATCTAGCTGCATTAATGGAGCTACCCAGGTGACATGCAGGTCACTGCCAACCCTGCCTCTTCATACTTCTTGCCTGTTTCTTCACCTGGGAAATGGGCCTAGGTGCAGTATTCCATCAGAGGGAAGATGCCGCCTCACCTCTGGGGAAGGAGCCTGTGGCTGCTGGGCCCAAGCGAGCCTCCTAGGTGTCCTGTCTCTGCTCCCCCGATGCTACAGCTGGGGCTCCTTCCCCAAGTCTTCTCATTTTGGGGCTGCTTGTTTTCTCATCATGGGGTCTCAGGATTCTACCAGGGTTTGTCAGCAGCCATGGTGGGCTGCCTGCTGCCAGGCAAGGCCCTGCCTCAGTTTACCTCTATGCACTGCTTTACACCCTGGGCCTTGCCCTTTGGGGGAATTGAGAAGGACAAGGTTTTGAGCAGTGGTGGGACCTGTAGATATCCCAGGTGGGAGCCTCCCCCATCCCAGGGCCCGGGGGGTCACTCCCATGCATCCTGAGGGGTGCATCTGGGTAGCCCTAAAGCCCAGGCTGTACCCTGGGGAGTCAAGCCCTGCAGGGGCAGTCTTGACTCCCTTCTAGCCTGACAACTGCTCTCCCACCCTCACTGAGCTCACCTAGCTTGCAGTGGTGCTCCCCACAGCCCCCAGGGCTCCTCCAGGTGGCAGCTCTCCACTGACTTGTGGCCAAGGGCGGAGGACCAGCACTTCCCTGAGAGGGCTTCCTCTGCCCCGAGGGCAGCCCAGAAGCTCCTGGGCCCCTCAAAGGCAGCCACACCCCTGCACCAGTCCATGACCATCTTCAATTCCACCAAGAGTGCTGCTATGGGCCCAGCTGTGGGGTAGGGTGCTCAGAAAGCAGGGTCCTGCGAAGTCAGCATACCAGGAGACTGGGGAGAAGGGGCTGAAGGAGTAGAGACAGCAGCGCTGTTGTCCCTGGGGAGGTAAAGATGGCTGTCCCAGACCTTGTGGGCCCTGATGCTCTGTGATGAGCGTGGGCCTCGGCAGACCCTTCTGGTGATGGCACGACCAGCAGCTGGGGCTGTGTGGGTGCTGGCTGGGAGGGAAGAGGGCAGGCAGGGCTGTGGCTTTGGGTGCTGCTGCCCTGAGCCTGTGCCTCTGGAGCAGATTGTTGGCCAGCACCATGCACAGCGGGTGTTTTTGAATGTCCAGGTGTTCATCCTGCCCCTTCCCTCTGTCCATACTCCCTTCCCAGTGCCCACTTGGCATGGGCCTGTGTCCTCCCTGCCTTCCCTGGTCCCCATGCTAGGGTGACAACCGCTGTCCTGCTCGACCTCTTTGTCCTCGATTATCTCTGTCTGCGTTGTGTCCCCTTGTGGGAACTGCCTGCCCTTCTGGCTGTGGTCACCGCCTGGAAAGGAGGGCAGGTGGCTGGGGCTGGCTCCCTAAGTGGCCTGTCTTCACCAGAGCACAGCTCCCCTTGGTGGCTGTCCCCACCCCAGAGGGCCACCTCCTCAGCAGCCCCCGTGGCAGTCCACATGCATGTCAGGCTTCCAGAGCACCTTTAGAGCCCTCTATTCCCTATCCATGTGACACCCCATGTTTGGCACCTGGGAGGTGCAGCAGCCATCCTGTGTACAGGGCCCCTGCCCAGACCAGCTCTGGACCAGCTGCAGGCCAAGAGGTTCCTGGTGTCCTGGGTGCTGGGTAGAGCAGGTGGGCAGTGTGACTGGCCTGGGTGTCGCCCTCAAATCTGGGCTTTGGAGGTGGAGCTGCTTGGTAGAGCTGGGGAGGTGAGCGTCGTACGGCAGAGGCAGTGGCTTGGGGCCATCTAGCTGGGTCCTTATCCTTGAAGCAGGCTGAAACCCCTCAGCTGCCCTCTGCTCAGCTGCTGTGCTGGGCATCACTGGGCGGTGCCCTTTGCTCCTCGCCCCACGCCTGCCTTCTCTGTGCCTCCGCCTCCTCCTGTCTCTGTGCCCCAAAGGCCCGGGACCCTCTCCCCACCCGCCCACCCTGGCTGCCCTGTTTCGCCCGCTCTGCTCCGCAGCGTTGTGTTGTGTTGTGACCAGCGTGCTGTCCCTGGTGCTGCCACTGCCATGCAGGCCCTGGCGTCCGTGACTGACCTCTGCTCCCCAGGGCCTTCGTGTACCTGAGTAACCTGCTGTACCCCGTGCCCCTGGTACACCGCGTGGCCATCGTGAGTGAGAAAGGCGAGGTGAAGGGCTTCCTGCGTGTGGCCGTGCAGGCCATCTCAGGTGCGTGGGGCCTTCTGGCTTAGCCTGCAGCCCTGTCCCCCACCTCTCGGGCCTCCCGGGCTCTTCCGGGCTGGCCAGGACCATGCTTAGGGCTATCTGCATCCAATCAGCTTAGAGGCACTGGGCAGCACACCCTGCCCTGTGGAGAGGCCTGCTGCCCCAGGACCCCACTGTTCCCTCCAAAGACCTGGCTGCCTGCACCTTGGAGAGAGACTAATCCAGAGGGACAGACATACAGGAAGGCGTATGCGGACTGGACTGGGAGGACTTGGGGGGCCAGCACCCCCACATGTAGTGGCCCCCAGTTCTTATGATATCTCTGTCGTCCCTCCCCCCGTATCTGTGCCCTGATATCCTGGTCACTCCTCGAGGAGAGACTTTACTCAGTTAATTTAAGTAACACCTGGCCCTGCCATCAAAGCCCCAGCATCCCATAATTCCCCAACACTTTTTCATCTCACCTCCCACCCTTGAGATGACCCCCAGCTGAGAAGGGGAGCCTGGAGCTCTGGATGTCCCCTGTGCAGGCCCCACTTCTGCAGCCTGACTGCTGGAAAGGAGGGGGGTTGCCTACCCTCCCTCAGGGGCTGCTCCCCATGAGGCCCATGCAGGCCCTCACTTAGGTCATTTACGCCCCCTCTGAAAGCCATGATCCTGTTCTGCCCTTGAGGAGGGGCCCTCTGGGGTCCTTGTGGAGTCCCAGCTTTACCTTAAAGGTCAGATGAGTGGTGCTTGCTAGGGTGCACCTGGTTCTTGGAACTCCAGGATATGAGTAGCCACAGCACCTCCTGTCCCAGGTTGTGTTTGGGAATCGAGGCTGGACCAGGAGGTGGAGAGCAGGCCCCATGCACACGTCCTGGAGGACTGTACCCAGGGGACATAGTGCTTCCTGCCTGTGGCCTCAGGGAAGGGATGTAGGAGGGGCACAACACCTGCCCTGCCCCATGGCCATGGGCATGAGCCATGTCAGGGCCAAGGTTGGCCAGCACTGTAAGGGCAGAGCAGAGCACCAGCCATAGGCAACGTAGTGGAGAGGACAGTGTGATGTCCCCTGAGGCCTGTGCGGGACCGAGCTGCTGATGTCCGGGTGCAGTAGGACTGGGCCAGGGGTCTGTGGAAAGGAGAGCAGATTGCAAATGACCTAGAACTCAGGTGGGGGCACTCATCTGGCTATGCCTGCCCCAGGAAAAGCTTGGGCCTGACCATCTGCTCGCCTCCTGCAGCTGACGAGGAAGCCCCTGATTATGGCTCTGGTGTCCGCCAGTCAGGAACTGCTAAGATCTCATTCGATGACCAGCATTTTGAAAAGGTACTGTGTGCAGTTGGCCTTCACACAGTGGAGCCACCACTCAGCACCCTGGCCTCAGTGGCAGCTGTGTACGGTTGTGTGTGGGCCGGGGTCCCTAGGGTCCTTCCTGGGGCCCATGTCCTCTGTGTAAAGCACATGACATCTCTTCGCTGGTTTGTGGTAACCTATGAGCTACACCTGTCCCCAAGCTGCTCCTGGGGCTCGTGCCTGGGCTCTGGGCTGGGTGTGGTATGTTCCCAGTGGCTCAGCCTCCCCGCAAACTGCTCCTTCTCTCCCGCCTTTCCCTGACTGTGCCCCACAGTTCCAGTCGGAGTCCTGCCCCGTGGTAGGAATGTCCCGCTCAGGGACCTCCCAGGAGGAGCTGCGCATCGTGGAAGGCCAGGGCCAGGGCGCAGATGCAGGGCCCTCAGCCGATGAGGTCAACAACAACACTTGCTCCGGTGGGTGCCCCCGGCCACCCAGGCCATCCAATGTGCTCACCACACCAGACTTGTGTGGCTCTGAGACAATTGCTCTGCCCGCTCCCAGTAGCAGTGTCCCCAGACGGCCTCCTCCTGGATAGCCCTGAGAAAGCTGTCTTAGACGGGCCCCTGGATGCCACCCTGGACCACCTCCGCCTGGGCAGCACCTTCACCTTCCGCGTGACCGTCCTGCAGGCGTCCAGCATCTCTGCTGAATATGCTGACATCTTCTGCCAATTCAAGTGAGTCCCACACTAACTCTGTAATTGGCCAGCACCAGCCAGGCTGGGACAGATGGGGTATACTGCCCCAAGTCCCACCTGCCAAGCACCTGTCCCTCTCTGCAGCTTCATCCATCGGCACGATGAGGCTTTCTCCACGGAGCCCCTGAAGAACACAGGCAGGGGTCCCCCACTTGGCTTCTACCACGTCCAGAACGTATGTCCTGGGGCTTTCTGCCTCGCTGAGCCAGTCCTGTGCCCAGTACTGCCCAGCACTGGGGCACAGGCCTGCTAGGGCTGTGTGGGGCTGCAGCTGGGGGACAGGTGCCCTAACAGGTTTCAGTGGGGTACAAAAGGGCCCACTGTAGGCCTCAGGCAGACATAGTCGCAGAGAGGTCCTGGATGGGACCTGGATGGGCTTGGGTGTCCAGCGAAGGCAGTGGCCTGAGTATTGGGGACAAGGGAGTCTGGCACCTGGAGGGTGGTGGGAGCCCTAGGGACAGTCCTGAGAGGCAGGGAGCTCAGGCATGTGAGTGGTGCTTCTGGGGCCATGGTGGGCAGGGCTGCTGGCTGCAGCACACGGTGGCACCACGAAGCTCCAGGAAGCTGGGCTGGAGGTGGGGCCCCCAGACAGACGGGACAGAAGTGTCACACTTAGTAGCGGTAACATTGGCCAAGGGATGTAAGTGTGACCAGGCAGAGGGCACAGATGCTGGCCCTTACCAGGCAGCCTGTTGGCACCTGGGTCTGCGGTGGTCGAGCCAGTGGAGCTGGACCTCCCAAGCCCTCTGTCCTTGGCCTGGTGATGGCTGCCGTTGCATCTGTCACACCTCTCCCAGGGTGTCCATGTCCCTGTGTTTCCTCTGTGAGGATGCTGTCCCTTGGTTTTCTCTGTCATGCCCATTCTCAAGAAGGAGGCATGTTCTAATGCCCTGCAGGTTAGGACTCAACATAGGAATTTCAGGGACAGAAGTAAATCCTCAACTGGCACGGCAGCAGCCACACTGCCAGGTCTCTGCGTGGTCCCATCTGCCCCACGGAGAGGACCAGGCTGCCCACTGGGTCTCGCCTGACTCTTGCCTTGGAAGCAAAGGCTGAACTTACAGGGTTTGGCAAAGACCATTGTCCCTATCATGGATGGAGGGTGGCTTCCCCTGCAGTTCCCCATGGAAATCGAGCACTGTCCTGTGGGACTGTCCTGGCCTCTTGGCCATGCCTTCCCACCTTCTTCCTCACCCACCAGATTGCAGTGGAGGTGACCAAGTCCTTCATAGAGTACATCAAGAGCCAGCCCATTGTGTTCGAGGTCTTTGGCCACTACCAGCAGCACCCCTTCCCACCCCTCTGCAAGGATGTGCTCAGGTCAGTGCGGGGCACCCCACACCCTCACGGCCCGCATTTGGGGTTAAACCAAGGGTGCTTCAGACCATCCATCCCCTCCTGGCACTGAGCCAGGCAGGCCTGGGACCCCAACTTTCCTGTGAGCTCTGTCTCCCCTCCCAGTTTTCAAGCAGGACCCACACCTGAAGGACACCCTGGGTGTCAGCAGAGAGGACAGTGACAGGTGTTTGGAGAGGCTTTGGTTGCTCGCCACACTGAGAGTGCAGGAGCCATGGGGCTGGGAGCCATGACTTGGAGCCTCCCAGATGGAACCTTGGCTCCTGAGGATCCCCATCCTCCCACCCAGTTGGTTTAGGGCCTGAGATTGGTATCTTCCCTGGGCCTTGGGGGCAGAGAGGCCAGAGTGGACAGGGGGTCAGCAGCTGCCTTGCCCTGGGCTGCCGGCTCTGGCCAGGGCCCCTCACTGTGTCCTCCATCTCCACAGTCCTCTGAGGCCTTCCCGCCGCCACTTCCCTCGGGTCATGCCACTGTCCAAGCCAGGTAGGTAGGGCTCTTCCACCTGCAGGGGCCCATGGTGGGAGGGGGTGCTCTACGGTAAGACGGGGTCTCCCAGGCTGAGGGCAGTACGGGAGGTGTCAGCATAGCCAGCTCTATGGCTTTGTGACTCACAGCTGTGTCCCCCAGTCTCAGGCTCTTTGCAAGGGGGACACCTGGAGGCAGACAAGTGGAGCAGTGGTTGCTGGGAGAGAACTCAATGGGGACGCAGAGAGGACAGCAGGCAGAAGGGGGTACATGAGGCAGCCTATTTGTCAGCCACTGGACACCAATGCAGGCCCCAGCAGCTGAGGATGGGCTGTGGGGAAATGCAATGGGTGGTGGCCAAAGAGCAGGTGGGTGATGGGCCAGGCAGCACGGCGGGTAGAGCAGACCCAGGTGAGACTCTGAGCAGGTGTCTCTGCCACCCTGCTGGCACTTGATGTCATGAGACACACCTTCCTTGAGGGCTTGTGTCCAGGTGTGTAGACTCTGGTACTTGGAGCACAATGCAATTGCGAGCTTACATCTGCCCAAGCCTGGTGCTGGTTACCCTGCTCTGATGCCAGGGGCAAGTGTACTCTGGGCTGGTGCCTTGGGCAGGGGTCATGCTCTCGCTTGCAACCTGTGATGGATATGCCTGGTCATTTGATCCCCTCTTCTGTCTCCTCAGTGCCTGCCACTAAGCTCAGCACACTGACGAGGCCCTGCCCTGGGCCCTGCCACTGCAAATATGACCTGCTGGTCTACTTCGAGATCTGTGAACTGGAGGCCAATGGCGAGTGAGTGCATGTCCACACTGCCCAAGCTGGGGACAGGGATGGGGAGGCGAGGGACCCTGGGCACAGGGACATGGTCCCTGGGTGATGGGAAGGAGAGAGCTGAGCAGCAAGCCTGTCCCCTGCAGGTCATGGGCTAGGTTCTGGAGAACAAGCGTGCTGACTCCTGCCCAGGGGCAGGGGCTGTGGCCTCTGGTGGTGCTGAGCACCTGTCCCAGTCTGGGATCTGGTGGCCTGGATTGTGGAGTTGAGCTCCCATGGGAGGTGGAAGAATGAGCAGGCTGTTCCCTAGGGCCCTGGGCACTGCCCACCCAGCTCTGCAGGGGTGGATTCAGGAGGGCTGAGAGGCCAAACCACTGAGAGCCCTGGGACAGGAAGACAGAAGCCCTGCTAGCTGCAGGTCCCAGGTCCACAGGAGGACAAAGCAGAGCCTCCAGGACTGAGGCAAAGACCCAGCCTGGCCTCAACCCGCCCTGACCCCTCCTAACACAGTGGCAGTCAAGAGCGCAAGTGTCCAGGGGGCCCAGTGTAGGCTTCTCTGCCCCCACAAGGGACTAGGGCAGCAGGCAGCATACTAAGCAAGAGGGCATGTCTCACCCTCATCTCTCCTGTAGCTACATCCCAGCCGTGGTGGACCATCGTGGGGGCATGCCCTGCATGGGGACCTTCCTCCTGCACCAGGTGCGCAGCCCCGCCCCCCTGCCCCGCCCCTGCTCCCTGCTCCTCCCCCCTACCGTGACCCAGACCCAGGACCAGTCCTCTCTGTTTGCTCCGCGCAGGGCATCCAGAGACGGATAACCGTGACGCTGGTGCATGAGACAGGCAGCCACATCCGCTGGAAGGAAGTGCGGGAGCTGGTTGTGGGTGAGTGGGCATTGGGGCGGGGGAGTAGCACAGCCAGTCGCCAACCGAACCCGCTGTGTGTTCCCTGGCTACACCACAGGATCACCCTCAGTACCTCACCCTCACCGAGAGGGGTGCCCTGGACAGGCAGTGGTTCCCAAGTTTCCATTTCATGTGCGTTAGTTTCCTGAGGCTGCCCGTGTAACAGGGTGCCACAAACTGAGGGGCTTTGAAAAGCAGAGATCAGTCAGATGTGCTTGTAATCCCAGTGCTCAGGACACTGAGGCAGGAAGGTCACTTGAAGAATTTCCCACCTCAGTTTCCTTGAGTTCTTATCTGAGCCTCTCCGACACCATCCTTGCATGCCACCAGCCCTGCGGTGATGAGGCCACCGCACCTCAGGGTGGCTGCAGCTGATGCACTTGGATGCTGTTAGCACATGAGGTCTTTCGGGTGTCATGGGCTCAGGGCTCCAACCAGTGTTTTCTGGGGGGAAGCACAGTTCAACTCTTAAGCATTGCTAAAGGTCTTAGGGTATTTTCTTCCGGGGCTTCTTGTCTGAACTGTGGTCTACCAGATGGTGCTCTCGCTGAGCTGAGAGCATCATGTCCTCCAGTGGACACTGGTGTCCTGGTCCTACCAGTTGTGTCTGGGCTGGGCAGGGGTCAGTACATGACAGGCCACATCCTCTGGCCCTGGGATACCCCCTTCACCTCCTGCTCTCCCTCCCTGAAGGTGCAAACACTACTGTCTGATTAGGTGGTGTGGCTTAGGGGTCTGGGGAGACCCTGCCATGAGCACCTGGCCCCATCCAGGACAGGGCTTTGTTTTGGACTTCCCTACTGACTGCTCCCATATGAATCCCAAAATCAGTTTAGAGCCGCCACCATCTGGAGTCTAGCATCCCTCCCAGGTGGCCATGGGACTTGTAGGCCCTGGGGGGGGGGGGGGGCTGGAGACCAGGCAGCTGTGAGTTCTCTGTAGAAGGCCCCTGTGGCTGGGCAGTGGTGGGCAGACAGGAGCTCTGCCATCCTGATGGGATGCTTGTCCAGACTGAGGTCTTTTCCCCAGGACTGAGGCCTGCTTGGGGAGGGTTCCCGCACCCAGCCTCCCCACCATGGAGGAGGGGTCCATCTTGGTGCCCCACCCCACCCCACCACCTCCCTCAGGACCCAAGTGCTCAGAGCTGCGCACAGAATCCTGGCCACATCCTCGGCCTGGCAGGAGAGCCAGGATGCCCAATCCGGCTCACTGCTTAGCAGAGGAAATGTATGTAACTCAACTGCTCCTTCAAATGGGCAGGAGTCACTCCCAGGCAATGGCCTTAGGTGAAGCTGCCGCTAACTGCGTCCAGACAGGTGGACCCTGCTGAGTGCTGGCATCTCAGAGGCTGGGTGGGAAACGCCTGTGGTAGAGGATGGCATAGATGAGGCCTTTTTCTGTCTTTGTTACTATTATTGTGAAGCACAGAAAAGTGGGAACCAACTCACCTTCCTGCCTGGAGGAGGTCTTTGGCCAGCGAGAAAGGCCTGCCTTTCCTAGGCTGGGCAGTTGGGATTCATCTGAAGGCAGGGGCAGTGCCAAGGTGGAGGAGCACTGCCTGTACCACCTGGGGTGCCTGGGAACCAGCCAGGCCTCCTGTGTACCTGGTGCCTTTTACCAATTGGTCCACAGCTCCTCAGGGAGGTGAGCCCAGGACCTGACTCAGCTCTGCCTGGCCAGCGGCTGCTAGGCCCCCATCCAACTGTGCTCCTGGATGTGATGCATGGCTGTTCCCTTCCCCCAGGTCGCATTCGAAACACTCCCGAAACTGACGAGTCCCTGATCGACCCCAACATCTTGTCTCTCAACATCCTCTCCTCCGGCTACATCCACCCAGCCCAGGATGACCGGTGAGTTCCTGCTGTTCCCGAAGCCCTTACTCACCAGCCACGTGGAACAGGTAGCCTGAGAGCCACACACACGGGCCAGTGGGTGGAAGTTGGCCCCCGGCAGGGGCCAACATGGGCCTGGAACAGGAGCTGGGCCAGTCCTGCAGGCCCTAGGTTGGTGGGCAACCTGATGCTCTGGACAATAAGCAGCTGCCAAGGCTGCACCGGCCCCTAGGGGGCTGCGGCCTTCTTGGACACAGTGCAAGATGGGTCCAGGGTTGGTGCCCTAGGAGAAGCTCAAGTGTTCACAGAAACCCAGGCCAGCAGCTCAGGGGTGAAGGAGTGTGCTCACAGGGCACTGCTTGTCCCATACCTCTGTCGCACGTGCCTGCCTGTCTCCCAGCAGTGGCTAAGGTCATCTCCACCTGGCAGTCCCTTCTTGTGGCCTGCGAGCAGTGCAGGGGATTTGGCAAACTTGTGGGATTTGGTGGGACAGATGGGGTGGGAGGGCTGCATCTGAGATTGGCAGCAGGGGGTTGCAGAGCCAGTGGGGCAAGGGGGCATCTGGCTGGGGTGGCTTCGAGCTGCTTCCCAGGCGTGATCCCAGCCTGGCCACTCCCTGAAGGCTGGACCTGGCCCAACAGCTGGCCCCTGTCAGCTCTCAGGAGGGGGACTATGTGTGTAGAAAAATACCTGTGAAGGCCAGGTGTGCTAGGGGGCACACCCCTGGACAAAGGGTCCTGGTGGAGACGGCTCCCACTCATCTAGCTCCTGGGTCCCGATAGAGCTGGATTTCTTCCTAGATACTGGGTGGGGTTGGTGGAGGAAACAGCAGGCCTGGGACAAGCTCAAAAGACAAACCTGAGCTCCTGCAGGGGGTGGCCCTGGCCAGGCAGGTTAGAGGTTGCTAGGGTGAGTGGAGCCTGGGCTTCCTCTGGCCTTGCAGCTTTGTGGTCATAGATGGCCCTGGCAGAGGGTAGAGGAAGCTTGGTGACCCCTGGGTGCTGCCATGCTAGGCCTGTCAGGCACTGAGCAATGCTTTGGAGCCTGAGAGGTAACCCTGTTCCCCTGGCCTCTGACACTTCCTTTGGTAGCAGCTCTTGGGTTCCTAGATAGGAGGCAGAGAGGTGTGTGGGTGTCTTCGGGCTGTCCCCCTGCTATCTCCTTGCATGGGGAGCCAGCTCGGGGGTCGTCGCATCCTCCTCTGATCGGCCTGGCTTCTGTGGGGGCCTTGGCCTTGGCTGAGCTGGGATGGCGTAGAAGGTGGCAGTGTGGGATGGACCTCAGGCCAACCAGGCTTTCAATAAATAGGCTTTCCCTGTTCCAGAGCTAGAGTGTCCAACTCTAAAGGGCCCCATCCTGCTGCCAGGGGCATGGAGTCATGAAGGGTCGCCAAAAGGGAGGCGCAGTCTCACTTGGCCCCTGCCCTCCTGTCCAAGGAAGTCTCCCCGACCCTCCTTAGAGGTGGTCCCAGGCCGACCCCAGCCTGTGTTCCTCCTGTAGCACTATACAGGCCTGGCTTCCTGCCCAGAATGAGGGTGATATGCTAGAGCCCACAGTGACTAGGAGACCCGGGCAACTCTGGCCCAGGGCCTTGGCTGCCTCATGCTTTGCCATGGCCTCAGCAGCCTATCCTGCTCCCTGCTCCCCGCTGCCCTGCTGCCCCTGCTGCTGCCGCCAAGCTGCCCAGCCCTACCCTCACTAACGTATGATCGTTTGTGTTTTGCAGGCAGTTTCTTGATTCGGACATACCTAGGTATCATTGCGCCCCTTGGTTTTATTTCAGCCTTCCTCCCTCCCTCCTTCCTTCTTCCCTGATCACCCACACTGCCCTGAAAATTTAATTTCCGGCTTCTTTGATTCTTTATCAACTTGCTCACTTTAGCCTCCTGTTTCTCCCTCTTTCTATTTCCTTGGAAAATTGTTCCATTTATTTTTTCATTTTTTATTTGTTTGCATCCCCCATCTGCAACCCTTTGGCTGAGTCCTTCTTGACCTGGCTGCTTTGTAGTTTTCTGCTCCTTAGACACTGGCTGGCCTCCCGCTCCTCCACCCATGCCCGCACCCTAGCCTGGCCAGAGTGGGCACAGGCTTCCCCTGCATGCAGGTGGCCCATGCCAAGGCTGCACCAGCTCTCGAGGGCCAACTTCTCCCTCGTACTCTGTAGTGAGCCAAGCCAGGGGCACGAGGAACGGGCAGACAGGACCTAGTTGTCAGGAGGTGCATCTCTCCTCGAGCCTCCTCCGGCCAGGCCACAAAGCAGACAGTGCATAACTACTGCCTTCCTTTGGAAGCAATGTGCTATAAATTTCCTAGAGACCCATGGGTCCCTGGACTCAGCTTGTTCCAGATCCAAACCCACCGTAACCCAAGGCTTGGCAGGGGAGGTAGCTACTATCTTCCCTTGTTTGAATGAGGCCTTGCCCACACTGGCCCGGAGCAGGCACAACTTTGTCCAGGGACAACTCTGGAGGGTAGGATTGTGGCCTTGGAGGTTCCCATGGATGATGACCAGAGCTCTGTGACGTCACCTTGTAAGCCTCCTATTTGAAGCCAGGAGCATTGGCACCTTTGAGGGGTGCAGGCTGCCCAGATAGATTTGCAGGGCAGGGTGAGTGCAGCTGGGGCTTCCCAAGACTGTGCCCTGCCAGGTTATGTTGTGGTGGTCAGAGCAGGAGGGTATGACTGCACCTGGGGGGCTGTAGCTGAGGCCCGGCGCTGGCGGGAGGCAGTTGAGGCACAGGGCTGTGACTCCCTGTAGCAGTTTCCTGTGTCCACAAGTAGATCTTTTTCAGATGCTGCAGCAGGCTGGGGACCAGTTGAGGCATCCGGTCAAGGGACACCTGAAGTGGTAACCAGCTTGCAGGCCTGAGCAGGGGCTCCTGCCCCCCTGCAATAAGCATGCCCTGGTTGGTCCTGGCCCAGGTGTTCCTCGACTGGTCTCAGCAGGACCTTGTGTGGCAGCCCCAGGATCCAAGAGATGCTGCCCTGGGGGCCATGGCCCTCCTGTGACTGGTGTGTGTCCCAGATGAGCAGTCACCGTGGTGGACAGCAGGCCTGGGCTTGGCCTTCAGGATCAGCCTGGAGAGGGAAAGCCGTGACCTCCTGCCCAGCAGGCTGCAGGTGGTGGGTGAGGAGCCACAGCAAGGTGGATGGCTGTGCAGGGAAGGTCGTGAGTCAGAAGCGGAATGTGATCATGTGACCCAGTCCTGGCAGCACAGCCTCCTCCTCAGGAGGCCAGGAAACAGGAATGCACTCCTGAGCCCAGACACTTCTCCAAGGAAAGGGCTGGTATGGAGTTTATCCAGTCTTTGATGCAGGGCTCAAGACCTCAGTTTCCCGTCTCTTCCTATGCCGGGCCAATTTGCGAGTCCACCTTGTTCATTCCCTTGCAGAGAGTGGGCAGGACTGGTTAGGAAGTTTGGCACTGACACACTTGAATCTCAGATCCACCTCACTCAGGTGGAGGCCACACAGGAAGGGGACAGCTCAGCTGGGCTAGGGTGTGAGAGGGCCCCTGCCAGGGGCCAAGCAAGTGCTGGCCATTTCTCCTGGGCCGAGGCTGTCAGAGTCCTTTTCTCCAAGGGCTGCAGCTGCAGTGCAGTGCCCTCAGGAGTGGGCACAGGGAGCATGGGCGTGTGCTTTCTCCAGCTGGTGGCTGTTGTGGAGCCTGGGCAGGATCCTGCTCTGCTCGGTGGGGTGGTGTGCTGCTCCCAGCCACCTCGCCTTTGTACCTATCTTGGACCTGCTCCTTGAGGCCAGGAGACTGGCAGCAGGCTTCCTTCTCCACCTTCCTGACCTGCCTGGCCCAGTGCTTTCCCGTCTGTGCCTCCATCTACTGACAACATCCCCACGGGCTCCAAGGTGGAACACCAGGGAGTCCATTTATTTCCTGCAGAAGAGCTGAAGGGCAGGGTTTGGTCAGTCCAGGAGGGAACCCATGCTACCCTCCAGAGCTAGGAAAAGGGGCTGACAAGGCCACAGGGCAGGATGGAGACCACAGCCCAGCTCCTTGAGGATTGCTGTGGCATAGCCAGGCCAGAGCTGGTGACATTCTCCTCCCCTCAGGCAGGGCCTGACTGTGCATCATCGCCCGTTGCCCTTGCCTCAGCCCAACAGCTCTGGGTGGCAGGTGGGTCCCCTCAGGACCTGTATTCGGAGCTCATTCCTATCCTCAGCTGTGTAATCCTCCCGCTCCCATCCTTTCTGATCCCACCCGATCAGGGGTCACACTCAGTCCCAGAACTCGGGCAGTTGGATCTGATCCTTCCTCAGGAACCTGGCCACTCCTGGAACTGGTACTTTTTCTAGGGACTTTCCAGGGCTGCACAGGTTCCTGGCTGCAGCCTCCAGCATGAGGTTTGATTTTTAGGTCTTCAGCAAACCTCAGAGTACCCACCTTGTTGACCTCTTTGCTTTCCGTCACTGGAACACTGTGAGAAAAACAGGTCCAGATCTTTAGCCAGCATGATGTCTGGTATGTCTGAAAAAAAAAAAAAAAAAAACCAGATTCTGCAAAGGTTAAATAACACCTGCAAATAGCAGTGTTATAGTAGGGCTCATGCACAGCCATAACTGTTGGCTGATTCGGGGAAGTTGAGGCACGGGAAGTCTCAAAAAGCAGAACCCAGGAGAACCCACTGGCTGCTGGGCCAGTGCCCTGGACAGGTGCAGTTCTTGTGTATTGCAGTGGTTTCTGAAGGCTTCTGGCTGTGGCAGAGTATTCATGCCAAAGAACTTGTCCTTCATGACTTCTCCGCTTTATTTACCATGTGTGAGGGTGGCCAAGAGTGACCTGATCTTGATTTTGGTGACTTTTGCTTTCCTTCGATGAAGGCCACCTGGGACTGGGTGTCAGCTGGCTGCCACAGATCACTCCTCAGTTCTGAGGCTCCACCTTTGGCTGCCGGAGTGGACTGACTGACTTGTCCCTAGAGAAGACTTACCCTGTGTCAGCTTGAATGGCTGAGAATGTCTAGGAGGCACACTCCAGGTGTGCTGTGGTAGATCATAGAAGTCTGGTCTTGGGGTTCTTTCCTGGTCTCTGGCTCTTTCCCTGTGCTCTGCTTCCTGGCCACCAGGAAACTTGCCTGCGCCACGCTGTTTGTGCCTCAGAGCTGGTAACCATGGGCTGAATCGTCTGGATCCAAGAGTGGAGATGAACCTCCTCTCCTTCTGTTGTATATGCTGGGCACTTTGTCCTGGCAAGAGAAAGGTGATTCATACACTCCTCATCACCCCTTTGTTCAGCAAGAGAACCCACATAAATGATAGTGCAGCAGACAGGCTTAGGGTGATCTTGTTGGAGGGGCAGCAGCAAGCCCCAGCTGTAGTCTTGGCCTTCAAGGGCTCTGTCTGATCCCTGGTTGCAGGACGGGTGCATTCAGAGGGTCTAGGACAATGTTAAGGCCCCTGAGGGCCAACTCAGGTCATCCACTCCCAAGGGCATCCTCACCAGCATTTGTACCCAGCAGGTCAGGGAGAGACCCCAGAACCTGGCGGGCTCCCCAGTGGTTCTGACACAGAGCCTGAGCCCTGGGGGCCTGTCAGTCCGTGAGGTAACTTACACAGAGCCAGGTTTATTTTGGCTTTTGGTTCTGGTCCAGTCTGGGGGCCGACCTGGTGATGGTTCAGGGCCCAGTAGCACAGGGCACAGCATGGCAAGAGTCAGGGCTTGGGTATCTGTCTTGGTCCCATGCCCGCTTGGTATGGAGTCCCAGGTTCACTCATGGTGGTCCCATACCGGGGACCTCCTGTGACCCTGACCACCACTGTCAGCTTCCAATTCCTTGCTCTTACTCCAGTGGTGGGGTTCAGTCCTTACACTCGGAACCCTGGGAGGAACTTCCTTTCCCCAACCACAGTAAAGCTTTGGCAGGTATTGAGTTGGGGGAGGGGTACAGCCACAGGGATGCACAGCAACCCTGTGCCACTCATGGAGTGGGGTTTTCTACTGTGGGTGACTTGGCTGCCTCTGGATGTCTTCTGGTGCTGGTGTCCTGCCCTGGGACTGAGGGGCACTTATGGTGGTGCCCATGTAAAGTGCTGCATGCTTGGGAGTCTACAGGGAGCTACCATCTACCACCCCAAGTTACGCCCCTGTCCCCTCCAACTCACCCACGTCTACAGAGGCTTCCAAGGCCAGAGGTGACAATGAGACCCTCCCTGTTGCTTGTGGCCACATGGAGCCATGGCAGGAATGGGTCACAGCCACGCTGTGTGGCCATGTATGTGGCCCCTCCTGGGCAGTGGCCTTGAAGCCAGTTGGTGTCCCTTTGGAAACAGCCCATGGGCAGCACAGTGACTGTACCCATGTCAGTCTCAAGTCAGGGTGGCCGTGCAGTTATGGGGTGGCAGCCAGGTTGGGGGAGACCCAAGCTCCCTAGGGCACACATAGGGCAGGGCTGTGTCCTCATTGGACACAGTCCTCCTCCTCAAGAACCTCAAAGGCCATGGTCCCCTGTGGCCTGGCCTGCAAGTCCACCCTATCCTTGGGGCTCCACTGGCTGATCAGCGCCTAATGCTGGGGTGTCCCACTTGGGAGCAGGGCGGTGACGTGGCTCCTATGGAGGGACTGGGCAGGATGCCCAGAGGACCTGTGGCACTGTTTGGCACAGTGAACAGGCCCGGGATATGGGGGCTTGTGAGGCAGAGGGCTGGGCACAAGAGAGAGGACAGGGCGCTGGCCTGGGTGTCCCTGTGTGTCCATACCTACACGGGCTTCCTGGTAAGTCTTTGCCCCACAGGGAGGAGAAGACTGGCATGGCCCCACTGTGCAGCAATAAGATGGTGTGGCAGTCCCATGTGCAGATGGCAGTGGGTGGCACTGGAAGCTGTGGTGTGGCTGCAGCCTCAGGGGCCAGGCTGTAGAGGGACAACTCTGGCCCAAGGGAGGAATCCACCCACTCCAGTCCAATTCAGTGGGGTGCAGGGCACAGGGTGTCATCCACTGGGGTCTCTGGGAGGCGTGAGGCGTGAGGTGCTCATGCAGGCCGCTGGCTGCCGTCTGACACCTCACTCTTTTCTGTGTGTGTCTGTGTGTCCTGGCCGTCTCGCCCTTAGCGTGTCCTTCGGAATTGACACTAGGTACAGCCACTCTTGTCTGCTGCCCGCTTGCTCTGTCCTTGCCCCATCTGTCCCACTGTCCTCCAATGTCCGCCTGCTGTCTTCCCTGTCTGGTTGCCCGCTGGCCCACTCCCAGGTTGCTCCTCAGTGACGTGTGTCCAGTAGTGGCCCCGCCCTGGTCCCTCTGCTTTGTTCCATGTCCCTGACTTGTGAGACCCTGTGTCCCATGCCCTGGACAGAGCTGTGTGGGAGACAGGCAGCGTGGCACCGTCTGAGCCCCCAGTCAGCCCCAGCCCTTAAGGGCCTGCCCGTGGGTACCTGATGACGGTGCACGCACGTGACCTGTCTCTGCGAGGACGCCTGGATGGAATCGGCCTGTCTGCCCCGCAAGCCCTCCCTCAAGAGAGTTCAGGAGGGTACCGGAGGGTGGCTGGGCCAAGGAGAAGCTCCACTCTGGAGCAGCAGCCCCTCAGGGACTGTGGAGCACAGCGGCTTCCTGGAGACAGCGGCGGTCAGGAGCCAGAGAGGAGTCCGGCTGTGCCCGGCAGAGCCCTGTTCCCTCCAGACGTCCTCCGGGGCCTCCCATGGAGCAAGGCAACAGCTGCCAAGGGCCGGGAGACCCAGCCAGGCCCCTGGGGTCCGGGACAGATGGGCAGATGAGCAGCACCTTCTTGCTCAGACTGCAACTTGGTTTGCTGCCCTCCCAGTCTCTGTGCCCGTCTTTCCCCTCATCCCAGTCCTTCTCTCCCACCGTCCAGAGCCAAGACCGGGGGCAGAGACGGGGGCTTGCCAGGCTGCCCGCCCCGAGCAGGGAGGACCCAGCTCCCTGTGACCCATGGCTCTCCCCACATTACCTGCCCCACTCTGTCTGTCTTCCGCATGTCCTTGCCCCAAGCAACCCGCACTGTTATCTTTTACCTCCTTTCTGCTTCTCTCCAGGACTTTCTACCAGTTCGAAGCCGCCTGGGACAGCTCCATGCACAACTCACTGCTGCTGAACCGTGTCACCCCATACCGGGAAAAGATCTACATGACCCTGTCTGCCTACATTGAGGCAAGAGCCCTCCGCCCACGTCCCAGAACTGGGGCACTTATGCATCCTGCACAGTCCCAGCCAGCACCATTGTCTTTTCAGACAGCTCAAGTCCTTGAGTTAAACCCACGACCCTTAATGGTCACAGCTATCAGCTATCAGAGGTCACTCTGATATCCTTAATGTCTGGATTTTGTCCTCAGAGTTGCAAGAGGGCTACAGTACCACCAGACATTCCATCTGTGTTCCAGATAGCACAGAAAAGGTGCTCGTGTTCCCATACCCCCTGCTCCCAGGATCTTCAGTCTGCAGGCCAGCACAACCAGATGTGGTCTCTCTTGGCAGCACCTTTGGATACTGGGAGCTTCTGGCTGGCACAGAAGTGGGACAGGAGGTTTGGGAACAGGGCTTCTGCCAGGACCAGCCTTTGGCCAGAGGCAGGGTTAGGGTGAAGCCAGTTGGCAGGGTTGTGCACACAGAGGGGGCCAGGGAACTGGGGATGTGGCCTGTGTGAGTCAGGGCCAGGCCACCTGGGTGCCGGGTAGCACGTGCCAAGCTCAGCCATACCTATCACAGATGGAGAACTGCACGCAGCCAGCGGTTGTAACCAAGGACTTCTGCATGGTCTTCTACTCCCGTGATGCCAAGCTGCCAGCCTCGCGCTCCATACGCAACCTGTTTGGCAGTGGCAGCCTGCGGGCTGCAGAGGGGTGAGTGGGGGTGGGCTTCATATCACTGCCCTGGACCTGGTGAAGACGGTGCTGGGCTCTGCAGGGCCAGCTACCTTCGTCTGATGCTCAGCCCGGCTAGGGATGTGGAGGCCCCAATGGCGTCCAGTGGGGCCACAGGAAGGTACAGGGTTCAGCACACAGCATTGGGTGATGAGAGGAGCAGCCGTCTGCAGGGTTGGAGCAGGCCCTGTGTCTCCCAGGGGCCTCCTGACCCCTGCCACATGACCTCCTCCCAGGACCGCGGGAACCATGCCCTTAGAATGGCCCGATATGAGCTGAGGGGGGCTGATAAACGTGGGCCCAAGTGGGTATGGGCACTGGGCAGCATCAGCTGCTTCTTCTGGGTCTGGGAACCTGGGGGTAGGGATTCAGAGTCCAGGCTCTTGGGCCCCGACCACCTCCTGCATTCCTAGGGGTGAGGAGCAACTGTCCAGAGCAGGGATGGTGTCCAACCCAGTATGAGGGTGAGGACTCAGTGACCCACAGAGGTTGCCTGGTATGCCAGGTGGGACAGTGCTGGCTGGCCAGACCCATTCACAAGAGGACAGAGTTAGTGCTAAAAGGGGCCAGGGGCCTCCTATGGGGTGCAGGGACTATAGGAGCTGGTGCTGCCAGCTCTGACGTTTTGGGAGACCTGTGCTCTGGCCACGGCGGCATCCACAGTATGGACAGGGACAAAGTTGAGGTCCCTGTGGGGTCCTGGAAGAGGCCCCCAGTGCATCCTTTAATGGGGCCTGAGGGAGTCTGGGGTCCCAAACCGCTAGTGGAACCACCAGGTACATGACAAGTTGCATGCACTGTGTGGCACTGGGGAGCACTGGCTGCCTAGTCTGCCACCTGGCACTACACTGGGCAGGTGACCTGTCCCCTCCCTCTGCCCCCACAGCAACCGCGTAACAGGCGTGTATGAGCTCAGCCTGTGCCACGTGGCTGATGCAGGGAGCCCAGGTAGGTGCCACCCCACTGCTGTATCAGCGGGGCCCTGCAGAGTGGGGGTCTCCACGGGAGGACAGCAAAGGAAGTGTCAGGCTGGTTCCTACAGCCTCTCTGGCCACAGCCACCTGGGACACAACCAGCCAGGCAGCTTTCCGCAGATGAAGTGGGGGTGATTCTGTGGCCAGGCAGTGGACCAGAGCCCGAGGGGGCTGATGGTGGCTCAGTGTGGCAGATGCTGGGTGGGAGGAGCAGGTGCCTGTCAGGAAGGCTGAAGCTGCTGTTCCCACCCAGGAATGCAGCGCCGGCGCCGGCGGGTGCTGGACACATCTGTGGCCTATGTCCGTGGCGAAGAGAATCTGGCCGGCTGGCGACCCCGCAGCGACAGCCTGATCCTGGACCACCAGTGGGAGCTGGAGAAGCTGAGCCTTCTGCAGGAGGTAAGGTGCTGGGGCCGCACAGCCTCGTCTGTCACGGGCCTGGCCGCCTGGACCAGCACTGGTGTTCCATGCCCGCCATGAGCCACTGGCCACCCTAGGACATGGCACGTGGGCCTGTTGAGCTGCCTGCTGTGGGGCTTTGACACACAGGAGGTGGAGGGAGCTTAGCTAGGGACCACGAAGCTCCAAGAAAGTAGGAAGGGCCTCCTCTGCGCTTTACCTGAGGCCTTGGCCCATCTGTGTGTGCGTGCAGAGCCCCAGGCCCGTCGTCAGCACCCCCAGTGTCATCAGTTGCAGAGCTGTCGGTGCCCAGGCCCTGGGCGAGGGAGCACAGCTGGGCTGTACAGTGGCTGTGAGGGCTGCAGGGCCTAGCTGGGGCACGGGGTCCTCCAGCTACCTCCTGCCCAACCGGGGACCCTGGGCTCAGCCAGGCTACTCTGTGCCCCCTTCCCAGGTGGAGAAGACCCGGCACTACCTGCTTCTGCGGGAGAAGCTGGAAACCACCCAGCGGCCCGGGCCTGAGGCGCTGTCCCCCGTGTCCAGTGAGGACTCCGAATCCCGCAGCTCCTCCGGTGCCTCTTCCCCGCTGTCAGCTGAGGGCCGCCCTTCCCCTCTGGATGTTCCCAGCGAGAGGCAGCGGGAGCTGGCCGTCAAGGTGAGTGGCACCCAGCGCCCAGCCACCAGGTCCCAGCCTTGCCCATTGCCCAGCCAGGGCCTCCAGGGACTGGAAGTGGGAGGACCCAGGGTGCCCTAGCTGGCTGCCCTCCCTCCCCAAGGACATCAGTTTGGGGTCTTTTCAGCCTCCCTATCTTGGATACCTTAGCCAGTGGGAAGCTCACCACCTCTCTCCTAAGGCATTGCCTCACATTTGGGGGACCTTGCCACAGCCTGCAGCTGGGTTGGCCCTGGGTTGGAGGAGCTGTGACCAGGGCAGGGTCTGGGCAGCCAGCACAGGGCTGACCGGGTGCTCTGTCTGCAGTGCCTGCGTCTTCTCACCCACACGTTCAACAGGGAGTACACACACAGCCACGTGTGCATCAGCGCCAGTGAGAGCAAGGTGAGCGCTGCGGCCATGGGCCGCCTGCCGGGTCCAGGAGGGAGGGTGAGCATAGCCAGTAGGGCCAGGGTTCCGGGTCGACCCAGCCTCTACAACTCCTGCCCTGGTCTCACCCTGCTGGAACTCTCACCTGCAGGCTACCACCTCCCCAGGCCACACAGGCTACGCCCCTCCCCACTTCAGATCCGAGTTGAGTCAGGCCTGGGGTCCCCTGCAGCATGTGCCCCTGTGCAATGGAGAGCAGTCGGGCTGCCTAGATCCACCTGACCAGACTAGGTGGAGGGACAGCAGGAGGTCTCAGGCTCTGTGACGGACCAGGAAGAGAAAGCAGGGTACCCCAGACAGAAGGTGGAAGGCGGGCGGCCAGGAGTGCTCCCCTGATAGGGCTCTCCATCTCCCACAGCTCTCAGAGATGTCTGTCACCCTGCTGCGGGACCCATCCATGTCCCCGCTGGGAGCAGCCACACTTACCCCATCCTCCACCTGCCCCTCTCTGGTTGAAGGGCGCTACGGTGCCGCCGATGCAAGGTGAGTGAGCTCTGAGGGCCATGACCAAGGAGTCACCAGCGTGGAGCGGCCCAGTGGGGTGGGGTGGCAGGCTCGGAGCAGGACTGGGCTGGATGCAGGACAGAGAGCGCTTCTTCGGGAGCAGTGGGGAAGGCAGCAGGGAATGGCGCTGTGAACAGGACATCCTGATGCCGTGCCAAGCACAGGTCTTTCTTATTCTCCCTTTAAGACGCCCGGCACCCCAGCATCTTGAGAGGCCAAGGCAAGGATCAGTTCAAGTTCTGCCTGGGCAGCTTAGTGAGCTCCTGTCTCAAAATTTAAAAATAAATAAATGGCAAGAGCTGGGGATACAGCTCAATGGCCGAGTTCCCCTGGGTTTCATCCCCAGTACTGCAAAAAAAAAAAAAAAAAAAAAAAAAACAGTAAGCCTCAGGGTTTTAAATTTTTATCAGAAAGGAAAAGCAGTGTTGAGCCCTCCTGCCCACTCTGCCCCCCTCAGGCCTGGGGCCCCAGCCCAACCCTCCCCAAGGGCCCTGTATGCTATCCCAGGGTCACCTTGGTGAGGATGAGATTCTGGGTCTGTCACTATGGAACCCTGGAGCCAGGCAGGGGCTCGGGTGCTCAGAAGGTGAGTGTTCCAAGAGCTGCAGCTGTGATCACAGCTGGACAGAGCTGAAAGGTCAACCCAAGGACGAAGAGGCCACAGCCTCTCCTTGCTTCCTAGGACCCCACAGCCCTGCTCCCGGCCCTCCAGCCCAGAGCCTGAGCTGATGCCCGAGGCTGACTCCAAGAAGCTCCCTTCTCCTGTTCGGGTGGCAGAGGCTGACAAGGAGCCCCAGCGTCTGCTGGTCCCCGACATCCAAGAGATTCGCGTCAGGTGGGAGAGGCTGCCACCCTGCCCTGTGTGTGGGGGTGGAGGAGGTGGAGCTGGGGCAGTCCTTGGGGTAGAGGCGGTGCTATCTTGGCCAGGCAGACCCATGGCACATGCACGAGTGGGAGGACTGGTGGTGTGGGCTGAGATGGCATGGCAGGGGGGTGCTCAGAGCACTGCTCAGGCTGTGACGGTATGGCCAGATCAGGGGCAGCCTCAGCTCTCTAAGTACCCCTGACAGCCGGGGGAGCTGGCCGGAGCTGGAGGTGGTCCTGGTCCCTGGTCCTTGGGTCGGGTCTTTGGGAGTCAGACCTGTGAGGAGTCCAGCAGCTGTCCTTCCACAGCCCGATCGTGTCCAAGAAGGGTTACCTGCACTTTCTGGAGCCGCACACTGCCGGCTGGGCCAAGCGCTTTGTGGTGGTGCGGCGTCCCTATGCCTACATGTACAGCAGCGACAAGGACCCTGTGGAGAGGTTCGTGCTCAACCTCTCCACAGCCCAGGTGGAGTACAGTGAGGACCAGCAGGCCATGCTCAAGGTGCGTGGGATAGAGAGTGGGTGGGGACCAGGATACAGGAGCCAGGATCTGGGGGCAGTGAGTGTCCTGGGGCTCACAGTACCGGTGGCAGTTCCTGGTGATGGGTGTGTGGTCCAAGGATTAATGCTGCCTTAGGCCATGGCCAGTGGGGGCCAGTGGTGTGAGCCCTGCAGGTGGGCAAAGCCACACACTCTGAGAGCCCTCCTGTCTCTCGCCAAATGGTCATGGCCAAGATATACCTGAACCTGCATGTGTGCATGCGTGAATGTGTGTGTGTGTGTGTGTGTGTGTGTGCACGTGCGCACACGTGCCTGAGGGTGTGTGCATGCGTCTCCTTGAAGCTGCCACAGGGCAGAATGGACCCGGGGAACTCAGGGGTTCTGGAAGAGTCTGGGTGAGTGGACACCTCGGCCAGCATCCCAAGAAGGGTCCCAGGGCATTCCACAGGGGCCCCATAACTTCTGCACACAGTTCTGAGCCTCTTGCCACTGCTTCCTCTACAGACGCCCAACACATTTGCTGTGTGCACAGAGCACCGTGGCATCCTGCTGCAGGCCAGCAGCGACAAGGACATGCACGACTGGCTGTATGCATTCAACCCGCTGCTGGCGGGAACCATACGGTATGGGCCTCACCCTTCTGGGGCTGCAGGGGTCCTGCATCGAGACCGCTGGGGCAGAGAGAATAGCTCCTGGCTCCTGAGCACTGTTGGGGACAGGGATGCTGTAGACCTGGTGCCCCTGTTGAGAGCAACAGATCCCACAGAAGGCCCTGGCTGCGTGCCACGATGGGGAGGGTCTATACTGGGAAGACTGAACAGCTCTGGCTCTGGGACCCAGGCCTGGGCAGCTCCCACCAACTGCTGGGATGCGGCCACTACCCCATTGCTAGGGACTGCTGCAGCCCTCTACCCAGCCAAGCCCTGACTGCACCTCCATCTGATGCTTTTAGGTCCAAGCTGTCCAGGAGGAGGTCTGCACAGATGCGGGTCTGAGCCCGAGCCCTCTGGGCTGCCAACAACCCGGCCCTCCCCATCCTCAGTCCATCTGTCATCATCTGCCACCTGGTCCTTCCCCACCAGAGGGCGCCCCGCTGGGCCCAGCGACCCCTCTGGCTGACTGCTCACTGGAGGCAGCAGTGGCTCCCTGTGGTGCTGCCTTGTCTTCTTCCAGGACCGCCCAGTGGAGCCAGTTGGGACTACGGAAAGGCCAGAGGGCACCGACCGGGAGTCACTGCTGCTCTCCTATTTTTTTAAGCATAGACAGACTTATAATTAATATGCGCTAGTTAGTGACGTTCAGACAGTTCCCCAAGAATTAACTATCAGACTGTGTACTATTTATAAGTATTTATTTCTAATGCCTCGTAGCCCTGTGAGATCCGACTGTCCCTACCCTATCCCATGTGCTCACCAGCCTGCCAGGTGGAATGGGGCGCCCCTGCCAGGCCAGGCTCCCGAGAGCAGGACGGAGGCACATAGGATGTGTGAGTGCCCAAGCAGGCGGGGCAGCTGAGGAGGACCTGGAGAGACCAGGCCTGGGGAGGTCCCAGGCAGGGTCCCCCTGCAGGTATCCAAGCCTGGTGGGCCAGGTGCTGGGGCTGGTCAAGGGCTGTGGGATACAGTGGCATTCTGGGTGCGAGTCCCAGCTTCTCTGGCTACGTGAGGAGGAGAAGGATGCTGCAGGGCCTGAGAAGGAATCATGTTCCTCACAGATGCCTTCTCTGTCTGGGGTCCTCCCGAGAACTCCAGGAGGTGTGTCCTGCCAGGGCACCCAAATGCTGGCTGTCATCATCACAGGGCTCTTCCTTCTGCAACTGGGGTCATTTGCAAACAGGAACCAAGCAGGCCACATGCACAGGGTGGGGGTAGCAGCAGATGGGCTGTCCCCGAGAGTCCCAGACGGGACATGCAGACGCTCACGAGCCTGTGCTCTGCGGCCGGATGTGGCATGGCGCCTCTCCTGGGGGTAGGATAGGACTGTGGCCTCTGCTGCACACTCACTAGGAGGGCTCCCCAGATTGTACTAAAGGCAGCACCCAGGCCCTGCAGCCTGGGCTCTGGGAGTGGGGAGCTCAGTTTCCAGACCTGGGCTGCCCTCCCTGGCCCCCAGGACCCATGAGGCCAGGATGCACCGCTGAGTTAGAATTGATGTGACCCAGGTGGCCGTGCTGCCCACTGTGAGCTGTAGGGGCAGTGGGCTGAGAGAGGTAGCAACAGTGACCAGCATGAATTCCCACACTGGCACCGTGATCACCTTCAGGCAGGGAGGAGAAATGGGGTTCCCAGGCAGGAACAGGGTCCAAGGCCTCTGTGCCTGCACAGGCCAGCCAGCCTGCAGCTACTGTGGAGGTCTGGGCCCAGCCAGCTTGCGGTGCCTGAGGCCAGCCAGCCTGCAGAGCACCGCAGCCAGGGAGGAAGGGGCCCCAAGTAGTGGAGCTAGGGATGGTCTGTTCAGGCCTAAAGAGAGGGCTTCTGGTGCTCTCTGCTCTGTGGGAGGTCCAGGTCGGGGCTGGGAACCCAGAGCCGATGGCAACAGGTCCAACCACCTGGTCCTGCTGAGGAGATTGCCCCACCTGTTAGGACAGTGAGGCAGCTGCTGCTCCCCCGGGCCCGGGTTCCAGGCCTGTGATGAAGGCTGGAGTCACGTAGAGCAGAGGGCTGTATGCCCTGGCTGTGGGTACTGTTTCCTGCTAAGTCAGAGTGAGGAAGCTAGCTCCAGGAAAGCGCTTTTCCCAGGCCTTCGATTCCGATGCCTAGTGCTCCCCAGGCCTGTGGTGGGCAGCGTTCTCACGGAAGGGTGAGAAGCCAGGACCCGCTCAGAGTTGGGCTTAACAGCCGCACACCCCACACACCAGATGGCTATAGTGATGGCCTTCCCCACCAGCCCTGGTCCCTGGAGGCCCTGGCACCTCAGGGTCCCTGGATGTGGCTGGTATGAGGGGCTCACATGCTGATCCTCTGCCAGCCACACCCCAAGTGGGGACCCCAGAAGAGGCTGCACAGCCCCCCAGATGGACAGGCAATGGCTGGCCAGCTCACTCCTGGGCCTGGGCCTCCCATAGCTCATCCATCCCACAGGCCCCTGCGGAGAGGCCTCACCCCGGCTTGTACATATGTGATTGTGGTGGGCGCGCCAGACCTGTGTTGTAACACCTCCCTGTAAACGATCCAGTACCCGATGTCTTACACCGAGTGTTAGCTGTAAGCTCCTGTTCCCCTTGTGCACTCAACGCTCTGTCCATGAAGAAATAAACGTGGCTGTTATGCAGCACATATGTGGGCCTCGGCTGTGGCTTCTTAGGGGTTAGGCCCCTGATGGGTGGGGCCCATGCAGGACAGCGTGGTGTAAGAGTCTGGTACTGATATCAGAGCTGTGGACTTCCTTGGCTTCCCTCACCTGTTGCAGGGCAGCCTTAGCAGTCTTCGGGCCAGGCCTGGATTCTCTGAGCCCTGCATTACCACCAGAGGCCTCTACTCACAAGGCCCTGCTCACAGGGCTAGGGTGGGAGTTTGGGGCCACCATCATGCCGATGGTGGCTGGGGCTGGGCAGGGTGCCAAGCAAGGTCCCCCATGTTCTCAGGCTTGAGGTGAGAGATTTTATAGCTCACAGGTGACAAATGACTACCTCTCGGACACCAGAGAGGATGTCAGTCTGCTCGGATCTGGGGCTGGGAGGGCCACCTCTGGTATACTTGGGGTTCAGGTGGAACTGGGGCAGCCTTGGGGCTTGCTGGGAGGCTGGGTGGGTCCCTCAACTAGCACATGGTGTCCAGGCAAATGGGTGGTCTTGCTGCTTTCTGCTCAGGTGCCCCTGGTAACACATGGGCCTCAGGACAACCACATGGGGCTCAGCCACTGCAGGATGCGCAGGGCCAACTTGGAGAACCCTGGGCACTTGGAGCAAGACTGGGGAGAGGTCAGGGCCAGGGAGTCCTGGTCCAGGGCTCTGGAGCCATTTGGGGCCTGGCTTGGTTCCAGGCCTTTCTGCTCAGTGGGGTGATGGAATCTCCCCAGCCCTGGCCTCAGGACACAGACTCCTGACCACAAGAGTTCTGGATGGGGCTGGGCGAGAAGTGGCCTCAACAGAATCTGGGACCACAGTTTCGAGGGAGGCAGAGAGCAAGAGGCTGGGCAGGGGAGGAAGGGGGCCAGCTGCCTCAGCTGGACATGGGCTGAAGGTCCCAGGGTCTTCAGTCTTGGGTGTCTGGCAGGCTGTGAAAACCTTAGCCTGTAGCCCTGAAGGGTTCCAGAGGTGTCATCTCCCCTGCAGGAGTGACAGGGTCCTGTCTGCTCTGGAGAGCCACCCAGGCTCTTCCTTGATGGAGACAGTGCCCTCCAGGATCACACCCTCGCCTAACATAGAGGAGAACCACCCTCTGGGGCTGTGCCCACAGGGAGGAGGGAGCCAAGGAATGGGCTGGGAAACAAGAGGGCCACTTGGGAGCCCATTCTAGGCAGATCCACTTCTGAGTCCAGCGCCAACCCAGGGCCAGGAAGCCCAGGCCTCAGCCCCATGGGAAGGGGAACAGGGGACTTGACTCTAGTACTGCGAATCTTGTGCATGCACTCATGGTCTCTGCAGGCCTTGGCTACCCTAGTCCTCATTACTGTGTTACTGCCTACACAGTGTTGACCCTCAGCTCTGGACGCCAGGACAGCTCCTCCATGGGCCATAAAAGATCCAAACCCCCACCACCTGGAGGATGAGCTGAGCCACAGCTCAGACCAAACCCTCAGTCCTGACCCAAAACCTGGACCTTAAAACCCTTAGCACCCAGCCCCCTGGGGTGTGACTCCTCTTCCTGGCTGGGTGCCACCCTGTGGCAGGGACTCATTTTCCAGTAAACCATCCATCCTCTGAAACTCAGGTGCCCTGCACCTGTTCAGGACAATCAAGAATTTGGCAACCCCCAGACCCAACCCAGACAGCCAACCACCTGCCAGACCTGCACCCAGGATGGCTGTGCCCGCTGAGCACCACCCAGGAGGTCCCAGCCCCGGGGCCTAGTGTGCGGGTGCCAGCACCGCAGCTCAGGGCAAGTGCGTGGTTCTGCTTCTTGGCCCCTGGAACATTCTTCTGGTACGAGATGAGTGTCCACGACCCAAGAGCAAGGTGGGTGGGCATCCCTGTGGCCTGGTGCCCCTCTAGTGCCCCCACTGCTACCTGGCCACATCAATCTGGTTCACCAAGGACTACTGTGCCGGTTCCAGGAAAGGCCTGGCAGCCAACATGGTTAGAGGCCCCTTAGGGTCACAGAGATGCAACCCCCACAAGAGGCAGTTCCCCTCAAACTCCTTTCTGCTGACCAGGCACAACTACAAGGACATCTGCCGCGAAGGGTGCTTGGGGTGGGCTTTTAGGAAGGTGCTAGAGGATGCTTTGCTCATGAGAAATCCTGACAGATCACATGGCTTTCCTCACCCTGTTCGTGTGTGCGTGCACTCATGTGTGCACCAGCATGTGCCTGTGTTTTCTGGATGTTGAAGTCGGTTTCTTTGCACTGAGCTACATCCCCACCCCTTTAAAAGATATTTTAAGACAGGATCTCACTAGGTTGCTAAGTTGTCCAGGCTGGGCTCCTACTTGCAATCCTCCTGCCTCAGCCTCTCAGAAGACTAGGGTTACAGGTGTGCACTCCAATGCCTGGCTTTCTTTAAGCCGTTTTCCTGTAAGTTCATTCATTCTGCTGTGAAAATTTACATTGTTAGCCACTTCCCTTTCGTTAATCTAATTGAAAGGAACATCAGTAACTCTTGGCAAATGTGCAATTACAAATTGTTTTGGCAGCTTTGAGAGAAGCCTGCAGAGGTGACCAGGCTGCAGCCGCTCCACTGGCTGGGTCATGAGGGCATGACACCTCAGCTTTAGAGTCATCAGGACAGCAGGAGCTGGTGATTCTCACAAGCCACTTTTTTGAAATAACCTCCCACATAGACTGGTTCCATGTAAGCTGGAGTATAATTTTAACGGACAGATGATGTGGTAGCATTTGTGGAGAACATATTATTAGCAAGTGGAAGTGAACCCATGGTTTCCTATAACTTACATGACTTATAAATTCTATCATATCTTCAACAATAAGGATTTTAAAATTATCTTCCTGCTGGGCCCCAGTACTCAAGAGGCTGAGGCAGACAGATCACTCTCAGTTTGAGGTCAGCCTGGGCTACATAGTGAGTTCAAGATCAGCCTGAGTCAGACGGCGGGACCCTAGCTAAGAGAAACATTGTCTTCCACATTAGTGATTGGTTCATTTTAAGCCTCCTGTGGAAACTGTGGGGATTTTCCATTACTGCAGTGACCTTTCAGTTTAGATTTTGTTTTATGGGTTTTGATTAACGTCAGTTTTCAGGGCTAGAGGTTCTTAACTCCCCCAGCCATCTCCACAGATTCCTGGTTCCAGCTGCGGCTGTGACTACGTTCCTTGGTCGCCCACTGAGATGTGCTTCCCTAGCACCTGAGTTCCCATCAGCTGTCTTGTGGGCTGTGAGACTTCCTGTGGGGGCCACCACGTCAGCTGGCTCCTGGGTCCTAGTGCCAAGGACTGAGAGCAGCCCCTTTCCTGCACTGCATCCTGTGCTACTGAGCCGTGATCCCGCAGCCCCAGCCCCTGACTCCCCTAGCCCTGCCCGGGGAGCTGACAGGCCACCACTCCTCGCCCTGGATGCTTCCTGTGTCTGGCACTGCACAGTACCCTCTGGAACCCATCCCAGGCATCTTTAAGGGACCTGACTTCCTGGTACCCCCTCCCTCTCCAGGCCAGGTAGCTGGAGGGGTAGCCAGGAAGGCCTCACCAGATCTGCAGGGAAAAACCCCAAGGTGTTTCCTGCTCCCCAGCCCCTCCATTTCTGCTCTGAGAACCTCAACTGGGCAACTTTTGTTCTGGGTGGGGGGAGAGGGGTCCAGACTTGCTGTATTTGGGGGAGGAAGTGGCTGGAGTGGGTGCTGCAGCTGTGGCCCCAGCAATGAACACAGATTGCCTGGCTCTGCAGGATGCACAGGCCATGTCCTGGGGTCAGGGCTGAGGTGGACATCAGCATCAGGGTCCTGGTGCCAAGCCAAGAGCTGTACCTCTGCCACCAGCTTCACCGAACTGCTAGCCCCTCCTAGAGGTCCCAGGCCTCCCTGGATGTTGGGTACCCAGACGTGACCTAGCAGCCAGTGGGGTTAGTGGACACCTCCAGGCCTGGGCCAGCTCTTTGGGCTTCTGAGTCCTCCTGAGTCCTACCTGTTATTGTCATTCTGTAATCAAGGGATAGGAAGTGGCTCAGGCAGACAGAGGCAGCTCCCCACCATGGGCTTCCAGAAACCTCACAGGCCTGGGGACACACAGTGGTTTATTGACAGGGGTTTCCAGGGCGGGAGCAGGGCTCACCCCAAACTGAAGATCCAGGTTTGTGGGTAGCCAGCCCTTTGGGAGCAGCTCACTGGGCGCTGCCCGGTTCCTGCCCACCTCACCCTTGTGCAGCCTCGCGGGTATCCACAGGGCCAGTGGCCAGCTTCCCTTTGGGGCTCCGGTACTTGCTCTTCTGCCTGTAGAGCAAGTTTCTCCGGAAAAGGCGGGGAAGGTGGCCCTGATGGAGCAGGATAGCCAGAACCATTCCTGTAAGAGACAAGGCCAGGTGGCAGGGTGGGTGGACGCCAAGATTGCTCCCCAAGATGGGCCGCATGGTACCCTGGATCCTTCTGCAAGATGTTCCCCGTTGGAGCTGGAGTCCAGCTCATCCTGCCACTCCCCTCCCTCCCCCTGCCCTTTGGAATGGGTCAGGGCCCACTGTACTCTGGACTGCTCTCTGGGCACCTAGGCCTAGGGTTCCTGTCGCTATGCAGAGCCCATACAGTCTCTTCCCAGGACAGCCTGAGGGTAAAGGGTGGTGGTGGAGGGGAGGGAAAGCACTAGAGGAGTGGGTAAGCTGGGCAGGGTCAAGAGGGGACCCTGGGCTGGGGCCAGACCTGGTGGCTCCCTGTCCTCACATTCTGCCCAGAATCCAGAAGCTGATAATTCTAATTTCGCAGGTTAGCTCCAGGGCAAGAGACCAGCTCTACCCATCAGGACTGAACTGTGGTGAGGTGGCCTGGTCAGGACTAGTCTCTGTCACCTGTAGAGCACAGCCCTGGGGCCACAGCCTGGCCAACCCCTACACCACCTCTGAGGAAGAACGGGAGCAGATGGCCATCAACTTGGTCACCAGGGTGGCAGCTTGGAGGCACCAGCTTGCAGGGTGGGTGCTGCATGAATGGCATATGGGTGAGGGCCTTAGGGTGCGATCCTACCCCAGGTGTCACCCCGTCCAGATGGGTCACTATAGGGAGACACAGCAATGAACTTCAGGAGCTGAGGTGCAAGCAGACACCATAGATGGAGCTGGGGGACCCACTCCCAGGGAGCGAGAGGTGAGCTGGAGAACGCCCCTTCAGGAGGAGCCCAGAGGCCCTGGGGACCTCCAGCCTGGGTGCAGGGACATTCTCCAAGGGGTGTCTTCCAGGCTGTGCCTGGGGTGCTAAGCTCCTGAAGGCTTCCAGATGCAAGCCCACAATGGTGCACAGTTAGGGAGAAGCAAGTCCACCCCAGAACCTTGAAATTCACCTTCCTGGAAATAGGGAAATAGAGAGTTTAGCTGAGTCACACAGCAGCAAGAGGACACCAAAGCCAGTAGCGCTGTTGTCTTTGTAAAAACAGGAGAGACATGGGGACAACAGCAGAGGTTGAAGCCAAAGGGCCAGGAACACCTGGAGCCACAGGATCTGGTAAGCCAGAAACGTCCTCTCCTCCAGTTCAGAGGCAGCAGCTCTCCAGGCCTCTGTGAGGCACCAGGTTCAGGAGTCTAGAGAAGGGGCTCAGAGGCCCAGAGTGAGGCCTGACTCAGTGGAAAATGACCTCCAGACAGAGCTAGATCCCAGGCCACACCAACACCTGCATGGCAGGGAGCCAGACAAGCCCAGCCACAACAGCGCAGGTCTGCATCCCTATCAGCACTCAGGGCCAACGGCTGGGGGGGTGTCCAGGAAGGCCCCCATCCTTATCTGTCCCTGGCCCATTGCCACCTTGCCACTGTCCCCGGGGTACCCCTACTCACCTGCTAGAGGGCCCAGCCAGTACACCTGGGCATACTCCAGGAAGCTGTGCCCCGAGCAGTGGAAGGTGACAGAGGCGGCCAGCGCAGGGTTGAAGAAGGCGGATGTGTAGGGCCCGGCTGTGGACAGAAGCACAGGGTCCCACGGCTGGCCAGCCACCACGGCCTGCCCAGGCCAGGGCCTAAGCCATCCTCTGAGATGCCATGAGGCCCTGGCAGGGATGCCTCCTCCAACCCCCTAGGTGTGGAAGGTGGTCCTTGCGGGAGATGTGGGGGTGAGGTCGTAGAGAGTGATGAGGAGGGAGAGGAGATGGAGACGGGAGGAGAGAAAGAGAAGCAGTGAGGGAACAAGAGCTGGAGAAGGGGACAGGGAAAGGGCAGCAAGGATGAAAGGCTAGAGCCACAGGGGCCCCGTCAAGGAGCAGGGCATGTGGCCAGCAGGATAGGGAAGGTCTGGGCCAGGGGAGAGCAGATGGCCATGTGAACCTGGAGCCAGAAGGACAAGGAATCTGGCTAGCTGCATCGGAAGCTCTATGGACCTTGGGAGGTGCCTTGCAGCCCCCTGCTGTGGCATCAGCTCCTGGAGGGGCTGGGGGACTAGACCAGATTCCTGACCAGAGCTGGGCCAGACCCTGGGCAACCTGCTTGGTTGCTCCCTCACCAGCAGTGGACCTTCCTGGCAAACAGAGCACTAGGAGCTGGGGACAGACAGCTGGTCAGGGCCGGGGCCTCCCCAAGGTGCAGGGTTAGACAGCCCAGCCTCAGAGGCCCCCTGGCTAACACCCCCTCTCCTGCGTCACATGGGGTCTCGGTCCTGATGCACCCAGCCGAGGGAATTGGCCTCACCTGTGTAGGCTGCGATGGTGACCAACAGAGCCACAGCTGGTGCCCTGTGGATCGAGAGGCTGTGCCGCAGGTGGAGCAGGGTCAGGTGGAAGAAGAAGGCGCAGGTGCCCTCCACGAATGCGCCGAAGGCCACAGATGTGTGCAGCGTGGAGCTGCAGTGTGTGGCCATGAGGCTTTGCAGCAGGTGCAGGTCACTGAGCTCCCAGGCCCAACAGCACCGGGTCATGGCCCCAGCTGCCTGTGAACCCAGCACCTGTGCCACCAGCTTCAGTAGAGTGCTGGGCAGCGTTGCCTCAGCCAGGAGAAACTCCTGCAGGGCCACAGCAGGGTTCCCTGAGGCACCATCGAAGGTGGCCCCATGCACCAGGAACACTAGGAAGAGCAGCGTCAGCAGGAGGTCAGGCCCCACGCCCGCGGCCCAAGGCCCAAACTCCTCCAGTGCACGTATCTCCAGGCAGCAGGCGGCCAGCTGGGCCGCGCCGGCCACTTCCCGGGCAAAGCTGGTATAGGCCCCTGTTGGGAGCAGAGCCTTGGACACCCGCCTGGCCGTCTCACACAGGGCGCAGGTAGCAACGAAGAAGGAGAGGGACACGTTCAGGCCAGCCATAGGCCTGGGCTCCCAGAGAGTGCCTACCGGGTCAAGGTGACACAGCAGGCTGGCCGGCCCTGAGCCTGAGGGTGCAGGGCAGCAAGAGTATCCAGCTGGCCTCTGGGAATGCTGCACCTGGGCCCTCCTGCCAGGGCCACTGCCTGACAGGCCCACCTCGGACCCGCCCTGCCTGCGTCCTCTATGGGTGTGGGACACACAGGGCCTTGCCTCACTCGTGCCACCCTTCAAAGCCTGTGTCCCTGCTCCGTGACTCACACCTAGGCTGCTGGTGCTGGGACCACAACACCTGTTCCCTGCACCTGGCCAAGGGCCTGCAGCTCTGCCTGCCTATAGGTCACCTACCAGTAAAGCAGCCTGAGAGCAGCTGCAGCCCAGGACCTGCTGTGGCCCCCACCACCATGCACCAGGAAGTCACCTGCCCCCAGCAGGCCAGCACCCTTCTCCCCACCATCTCCTTGCTGCTGCTTCAGCCGCAGGACACACTGTGCTCAGATGAGGCCTGGTCCCTCAGAGAGGCCAGTGCCCTGAGGAGGCCCCATCACTTCCCCTGCACCAAGGCACGGGGCTGGGGACCCTGTGCTGGATACTGGCTCCCCAGGCTCATAGTCATAGAGGATGATGCTCATCAGGGCACTGCTGTGTCACCACCAGATGACAGAGAAGAAGCCCTAAGGTGCTGGGCAACTGCAGGAGCACTGAGGGTGGCAGGAGTGGTTGTTCCGGCCCAGGGAATCCATGTGGAGGCTGCTGGGAGTGAGCAGTCAGGGAAGGCTGTGCTCCTCCTACCTGTCCTGGGCCAGGGGTTTGGAGCCACCCCAACCCAGGTGAGTGATGTCCCTGACATGGAGGGGATGCTCCCTGGAGTTAGAGAGGGAGACAGTGCCATGAACAGAGACACCCCTCAGGGCCAGACACAAGACCCGGGAGGCCCTTGGTCGGGCCTGATCCTTGCAGGTCTCCAGGTGGCATGGGAAGCTGGGATCTCTGCAGGTCGAGGTCTGCAGACTCCACTGGGCAGGAAAGGGGAAGGGGGCCCGTCAGTCTGTGGCTGCCCTAACACCTGTCCCACACTCTCTGGTGAAGCAGGTCCATCCCTGCTCAGCTGTGGCTCCTGACACTAAGGTGGCACTACTGGCAGGGAGGGTGCTGGCCGGGCTGCGGCAGGCATGCCGGCCTGTCACACCAAGCGGCCTGCGAGTTGGGGCACATTTAACGAGAAGGTGAGAGGCTTGGGTTGGGTGGGAGCCACAACCTGGTTCCCTCTGCCCAGAACCAGTCCAGCGGGTGCCAGGCTGCTCGACTGCCACACCTGGGTTGCCTTTGGGGGAATCTGGTTCTTATTTTTCTAAACTCACATCTGTCCTCCCCTAAGACTAGGGAGGGACAAGACCTGTGGGAGGCCGAGGGGTCAGCGACTATAGATGGCGCTCAACAGGTCCCCAGCGGGTTCCCAGCAGGTTCAAATGTATGAGGGCCTCCAGTCCCCTGGGAAGGCAGGGATGCCCGCCCCACCCCAGGCAGTCCCACCCGAGTGAAGTCCTTTAGGGGAGAGGCCCGGCTACCTGGCCCACTGGATCCCTGGATGGCCAAGAAGCTCCACACAGACTCCCTGGGAACCGAGTTCACCACCTGCTTGGGGCTCTCTATCTGCAGGTAACATTCACCGTGAAACTCACACAATACATGTGTGAGCTCCGTGCCTTCCTCAGATGCATGACCATCCAGACTCCACCGGCACCAAGAATCATTTTCATCATCCCAGGAACTGGTCACACCCCATGAATGCCTCCCATCCTGGCTTGGGCATTGCCTTTGGACAACGTCCCCAGCTCCTGGTCGCCCGCTTCCTGGTGGTGCTGCCCAGCCCTTGCTGCGCAGAGCAAGGGTCCTGTGTCTTCACATCATCTTCTGTTTACTGTTGCAGTCCATTTATGGACAAGCCTCTGCTTACCCCGCGTCCTCATAGTAAATATTTGGTTCTGGTTCTGAATTAATATGAACAAAGCTGCTATAAACCATCCTTGTATAGGTCTTTTGTTGCTGTGTGTTTATATTTCTTTGGGGTAAATGCCTAAAATGTACGATGAAATTGTTTCCCAAAGCGGTGGCAGTGCAGTAGCCATGAAAGAGACTGCTTCCTGAGTAGTGGGTCTTGCTACGTTTAGAGCCTCTGTCCTCGGGGTGGCGTGGCTTCTGTCTCTGTGTGGTTCATAACTGGATTTCTGATGGCAGGGACATAAACACGACCGTGAGCTCACGGCCTCACATGCTGTTTTGTTAGTTCCGGGCTCTGGTCTCTCACTGGGGTATACTAATCCCTTATGTATTCTGGACACCTGTCCTTTGTCTGGTATGTGTTTTGTAAATATTTTCACCCAGTTTCTGGTCATTTCCTGATGGGTATCTTTTTTTTTTTTTTTTTTTTTTTTTGTCTTTTGTCATTTTTTACCAGTATGGGGGATCGAACTCACGACTGCCTGCTTGCAAGGCAGGCGCTTATGCCGCCGAGCTAAATCCCCAGCCCCCTGATGGGTATCTTTTGATTAGGAGTTTTTTAGTTTAATAGCTACTGCTTGCTGCCTCCTGCCATCTGTCCACCCCATCATAATGGTATTTCCCAGTTCCTTCTAGAAATTTTATGGTTTAGCGTTCAAGAGTCAATCTATGATACATATTGAAGTGATTTTTGGTCACCGTGTGAAGTGAGAGTCACATGTCTTCTCCACAGAGAAGTGGAGTGCTGGGACCACAGTGGTCCCAGCACTGTTTGGTAAAACGCCCTTTCTTTACCAACTGAAATGTTTTGCCACTTGGTTAGAAGTCAGATGAGGGCCAGGGGCACAGCTCAGTGGCACAGCAGCCCCTTAGCAAGCGTGAGGTCATGAGTTCAATTTCTGGTACCAAAAAAAAAGTCAGTTGACTCGGGCCCTGCACTTGGTTCCGCCCTCTGTACCCCGGCACTACCGTCTTGATCACTGCCTAGCTATGTCCTATCTTGGGGCTACACAGCTGTGGCCTTTGGCTTTCTCTTCTTTATCAAGAGCGTTTGCTGCTCTCACACCTTCTCATTATCATGCACGGTGTAGAATCTGTTCATTGAATTTCGTTCTGAAAGCTTAGTGAGGTTACAGGATTGCATTGAATCGAGAGATCGGTTTACAGAAACTTGAGTTTTACTAACACTGAATCTTGCGGTCTATGAGAATGGTGTGGGCCTCTCAGGTTTGGCTTGTTTAGTCCTGGGGCACTACTTGCACCTCACTGCAGGGCTAAGCTGAGGAGGCGGGGCGGGTGCTCTTCCCTGGGTCCTGTTTTGGGGCTAAGCTCTGGCTCATAGCATGAGTGGTATTTGCTGGCATTTGGTCTTAGCTGCGGGCTTTCTAAGACACCATGATTGTTCTGAGGAAAGTCTCTTCTGTTTTGAGTCTGCTGGATGGATGCTCGGGTGCTCTGGATCTGATGGTTCCCTGGTCCTCATGAGACAAGTCCTACTGGCCGACACTGTGTCATGGACTCAGGGTCCCTTTCCTGACACATGGTAAGGACCTTTGGGTCTGTCTTTCAAGGGACTGTGGTCTGTGACTCTTTTCTGTTGATGACGTAAGTGGCTTTGGGATCACGGCAAGACTGGCCCCACAGAGTGACGTTGGGCAGCTTCCTTTTTCTGTTCTTTGAATGAATATCTGCAAGATTGGTGTCATGATTCACTGATTATCTGACAGAGTTAACCTGTGAGGTCACTGGGGGTTTCCTTCCTGGCTCAAGGCTGGAGACACAGGAAGGCCCCAAAGACAAGGAGTGCAGGCCGTTGGGGATGGCATGGCCACCCCACAGGGGAGGCCTGAGGACAGGGAAGAAGCCAGTCACAGCAGAGGACCACGGAAGGCTGGATTACCAGAGGTCCCGGAGACCCCATGGGCTACAGGACAAAAGAGGAGGCTGAGGTGGGCTGAGGTGGGTACCAGGGCTCTGAGGCTGCAGGAGCCCCACTTCCAGGTAAGCTGCAGCAGGCAGTGGCAGCTGTGGTGAGTTCGTGCATTTGCTGAACAAGAGCTGCAGGGGCAGGAGGAGGCGTGGGCCGCCCATATCCGTCACTGGCCTGGCCAGCTGTGTGCAGTTGTGGACCCTGGCTGCCCTCCAGACCCCAGTCCTCCCTGACAAGGACTTTTGAGTCACCTGTGTGTTCCAAGATCCACTTCATGACATCCACCCACCCATTTGTGGTGACCGAAGGAAATTCTCAGCAGGCAGATTTCTGTGTTGATACAACCCAGCCGGCAGGCACTCAGCAGTCACGAGGCGGCTCAGGGATGCTGGCAGGGGCCTTGCAGGCAGAGAAAGCCCTTGGAGCCCTCACCCGCTGCATGAGCTGATGCCCCATCCTTCCCTGAAAACACAGACGATGGCCTCTGGGTCCAAGGGCCTGAGTGAGCCTGAGCCAGGGTGTGGCCTCAGGAAGGACTTGCGGAAGGCTGGGCTCCAGGAAGAGATGTTGCCAGGAGGTCTCAATGGCTGAGACCCCTGCCTGAGGCTCCGATACTGCGGAAAACCCTGGTCCCTCGCCCAGACTGCCCGACCCTCCAGGCAGTGTGCTCTGATGCTGTCCTGGAGAGAGGCTGTGGCTCCCTCATCCTCCCTGCTCATGCACAGGGGCACCTTGCCTGTGCCGGGCTGGCGCCACCCATGTCCCATCTCCTCTATCCCCCTACCCCGTGCCTTCCTTCCTGACTCAGCCCCAAGCTTAGGGGAACAAGGAATCACTTTCGGCATTCACTTCTCTGCCATCTGGGGCTGTCCAGAGCCTCCCTTGGGTGACTGGGTGCAGGCCTCGGCCCAGCCTGTCAGTTCCATGGGGGTGGCCTGATGGCCGCAGCCCAACCCGGTGAGCTGTGCCAAGACGTGGATCACACACAGGACAGCGCGTGAGCTCGTCTCCTCCCCAGCTGTCTCCAGGGTTCTCTCCCTGCCAGCTGCTCCTGGCTTTGAGCCACTCCAAGTGGGGGTCCAAGAACCCTGAGCAGTTGCCGTCCATCAAACCCTCTGCTGCCCTCCATGTTGCTGGTGTCTACTTGGGTTACAGGCAACCAAACTTTGTTCTTGCTTTTAGCAGTCAACTCACTTCTCTTTCTTTCTTTCTTTTTTGTATGAGGAATTGAACTCAGGATCTCGTGCTTGCCAGGCAGGCACTCAAAGCTATTGAGCTGAATCCCCAGCCCTGTCAACAAGCTTCCTGTTGGTATCTAGATGCACCCGCAAACCTCATGGGCCATAGGTGGGGCTTTTCAGAGGGGCCAAGTAGCCTGAATAGAATCTTGGGATGGAAGAGGGCGCCTGCCTCTGGCTGCTGGCTGCTGCTCTGCTCCCTTCTGCTCCCCACAAGCTGTTTCTCCTCTGCCTGGGAGCCAGCTGACACAACAGAAACCTCCACAAACGGGGAGCTAACTAGACCTTTCCTCCTTGAACTTTGGGTGTCAGGGGTTTTGTCTCAGCAGCAAGAAAAGTAACTGACAGAAAGTAATTTCCAGAGCCTCACCCTGTGCCCCCTAACGCTGGTCGTGTCTGCAGTGTCCCTTCAGTCCTGTGGATCCAAGGCTTTGCTGCAACGCCTGCCCACCGCCCCTTCCACAGGACCTGCAGTGGCGGCCCCTCTGGCCTGAGTCTCTGGAGGTGGCCCATAACCCCTGAGTGGGTCCTTCACTGTCCCAGCAGGGAGGGCCTGATCCTCTACCCTCTTCACCTACAGCCCCGCTCCAACAGGGCGCCCTCTTCACCTTTTCTCCCTATCTCAGGTTATGATGCTGGGCACCTCTGCTCAGCCCGCTGGTTCTGTCTGCCGAAATCCTCTTCCATGGGAAACAGAGACCTGTGTCTACACCAGGCACCATGCACAGTTTGATCCCAGGAAAGCTTCTCCCTGAAATCCACTTCTGCATCTGAGAGCCACAGCAAGGTGCTCTTCTTGCTACTGAAGTGACTCTTAACTTATTTCCTACTAAAACAATATTTTTATTTAGTTTTACTGCTATTAAGTGGTCATTCAGTCTGCCTGTAACTCTCAGGATATCCTGAAAGTTCAGAGGACTTAAACACGACCATCAGAAGTGTTTTGAATCATGGTGGAGCACACCTGTAAGCCCAGCACTCGAGAGGCTGAGGCAGAAAGACTGCCATGAGTTTGAAGCCAGCCTGGGCTCATGGAGAGTTCAAGGCTGGGTTGAATTATGCAGTGAGATCCTATATCCAAAAAAAAAAAAAAAAAAAAAAAAAAAAAAAAATTAAGTGCTCTGATGTTATTCTATTTGGAAAAAGTGTGATTACATTATTTTGTCACTGTTAATAAGTGTAATAAAGTAATCCCAAAACACAGAAAGAAACTTCTTTTGTCTTCTGAAATGATCTTGATGTTTCTCTTTGGTTTATTGTTCTGATCTGAGCAATTACGCATTTCAAATGGAGACAGATAGAATCATAATTTCAAATAGTGTGCATTACGGAAATGCAAACCTCATTAGCAAATGGTTTTCGCCTCATCTGATTTCTCAGTAATGCAAGTGGATGCTCCACAGCTGTGTGTCTGGTGGACCAGGAGCCTGGCCCTGTACCTTGCCTGCTGGCACTGGCGCTTTCCTCATTTCCTCCTGCCTCTCTCCCATTTTGGCCAGTCCAGCCCAGGACAAATGATGACCACACCAGGTCTTTCAGGAGCCTGACTCCCCTCTGCGTGCTACCTGTGGACAGCTGTGGATTTGGGAAGGATTGGGGTCAAGCAGTGTGGCACCTTTCACCTACTCACCCTGTCCTTAGTCATGCCTGGCCACACCGAGTAATGCTGTGTTGACCACGGTGAGTAGTTTAGGACCAGGAGGCAGGGGGCAGCAGCCCAGAGGCAGAAGCCCAGAGAGAGTAGCCTTCGGACCCAACCTCCCACTGCAGCCGGGGGAACTGTTTATTGTCCATGCTGCTGCCAGGCAGGGCCGCAGAGAGGGGGGCTCAATCTTGACTCCACTGTCCCCATCTAGGGGCAGTGAAACTTGCCTCCTGCAGGGCCTGAAGTTCACAGCAGTCCAGAGAGCACAGGCCTCCTTCCAAAGGCCTGGGCCAGCCTATAAGAAGGTGGCCCTCAGAAGTGATCACTCACTCTCTGCACCTGGAATTCATAGGTGGCTCCCTGCATGGCGAGTGTGGCTTGTGGGGCTGGCACCATTCATGCAGCCATGAGTCCACCCTGCTGGGGCACCATCAGCTCCTCTGCTGTCTCCTACAACTCCATCCACAGGTTCGGTCCAGAGAGAACTCCAGGCCCTGCCCTGACCAGCAAATGATCCAGAGCCTGGTGTCTGGAGGCCGAAACCCATAGCCCTCACCAGATAGAAGCTGCCCTGGTGAGGCTGGGCTTCTCTTTGGCAAGAGACACAGAGCTCAGCTTCTTGAGCTCTGGGAAGTGGTGGGGAGCTTGGCCCTGGGCTCCCCAGCTGGGCCAGTGCCTGAGGCTTCTCACACTGGCCTCTGTCACTCAGGGCCCATGTCGCCCTGCTTCCCTGTTGCCCATTCTGCTGCACTTGCTGTGCAGGAGCAGGGATGGGGGCGCTCATGGAAGAAGGACTGTGATAAACCAGGGTTTGGGAAGCCTTGGCAGAGTCTACTTCCACTAACCTGACCACGAGCTGCCCCACACCTGATTTCCTAGGCAGAGGACACAGCAGGACCTGAGATCAGGACACACCAGTTCCCGCTTGCTTTACCATGGCTACTGCCTGTCTCTCCAAGCTGCCCACTTTCCTCCAGCCAGTGAGTGTCTATGCTTGGCCACAGTGTGGCTCTACCATGTCCTCCACCTGGCCCAGACCCCAGAACCAGGAGGCCAGGTCAGCCGAGGCCTGAGACCCTCACTGCTGGCTCCCTCTCCCGAGCCAGTGAATCACCCAAGACCAAACCTGCACTGCTATCATGGTTTAGAGGTGAAATGGTCCCCTGGGCCTCAGTGTGTGGAAGGCAGCTGGATCCTGGAGCTGACAGCTGCCTCATGGCTGGGACATGGGGTCTGGACAGGAGAGGTATCACTGAGGGCGTGGCTGGAAGGCTGCACTGCCCTCCTAGATCCCCGCTTTCCCTCTCTACTTCCTGTCCATCATGCCATGAGCAGCTCTCCTCTGCCAGACCTGCCATGCTGCTGGCCGTGTGAGCACGAAGACTTCCAAACTGTGAACCAGAATGAGTCCCAGCTCTCCACTGTGGGTGTCAGTTATTTGACCTCAGCAGTGGGGTAAGTGACTGAGGCAGCCATGAACTGGTGACACTGGGGTGATGATAAATTGTATTTGGATTGTCACAGAAACAAGAGAGGCCAGTGCCACGCCCCTGGAGAATGGGCCAGGAGAAGCGTTTCTCAGGCCACTCAAGCAGGGAGTCCCAACAGCCCCTGCTCTCTCCTCAGGCTGCTGTCTAAGGGTTCTGGGAAGGGTCTGTGACCAGGAACCCATGCCCTCCCTTCCCCTTGATGCCAGCCTTGTCCCCCCCCATGACCGCCAAATCTGGCCAAGGGCAAAACTGCGGATCTGCATGCAGCCCCAGCCTAGCTGGTCTGCCTGAAGGGAATCACGTCCCTGGTGGGAAACTTCTGTGGACTCCCCTGGTCCTATGGACTCCCTGTCACTTGGAGATGAAGATTCCAGCCAGGTGTAGCAGCACACACCTGTAATCCTAGCACTTGGGAGGCTGAAGCAGAAGGATCACCATGAGTTCAAGGCAGCCTGGGCTATGTAGTGAGCTCAAGGCCAGCCTGAACTGCAGAGTGAGACCTTGTCTCAAAAAAAAATTAAATAAAAATTAAAAAAGAAAATGACAGTCATGATGGTGGACATCAGGGACATGGACACTACCTATGCAGCTATGCCCTGGCACAAGCCACAGAGTGAGCTCTGAGAGAGCTGGGTTGCCCTAAAGACTAGGACTGGGCTGGCAGGCAAGGAGCACATCGGGAGCACAGGGTGGGAACAGAGTGGGCTGTTTTCAGGAAGCTGAGCCCTGGACACCTGCTGCTGGCGCTGCGCTCTCACACAGGAGCCTCCTGGATACACACACACCTATGGATGGGAGGTCAGGTCAGCTCAGCACTGGGGGTTAGGGTGAAGAGGGCGGGGCTGCTGCAGAGGGTACTGGATGGAGGTGCCAAGCCTGGGTAGCACCCTTAGGGGTGTGGTGGGAATACCCATCAGAGAGGACATGCTGGGCTGGGAGCTGGTGTACAACCCCCAGCCTTCCGGGGGCACTGCTGCTGGGCAAGGGGAAAGAGATGAGGTGAAGGGTGGTCAGGTCAGGGACCCCCACCTTGGTACCTGGGATGGCTTTGAGGAAGGTGATTTGTCTATGGCTGGGGCAGGGGTCAGACTGGTTCTGGGAGGAGCCTCTTCAGAGGAGCCACAGCCAGACCCTCACACACATAGCCATTCAGCTCCAAGCCTGTGCATCCAGCACCCCCGCGCTGCTCTGGAGTAGGCAGAGTTCGGGAGCTTGGGTGGAGACTCAGTGATGGGAGTGGCTGAAAACAGGGGCCCTCGTCCTCAGACTCCATACTCCAGCTGCCTCCTCCCACCTGGGCCTTTGGAGAGAGGCCTGGCCAGAGCCAGTGGCACTGGGCTGATCTTAACCCTTCCTCCTGGTCACATGTCCAGGCTGTCAGGTAGTGCAATCTTAGGAGAGGTCAGGCTCTGGGAGTCCTGGCTCCTGTGGGTCGAGGGCCGAGTGGACGCATCCTTGAACTCTTTGGCCATGTAGTAGTAGCAGATGGCATCCAGGCAGCAGTTAGCATTGGACAGCTGGCTGGTGATGGACAGGGCGAAGCTGAACGCCTTGCGGGCCTCACAGGAGCTTGGGCGCATGGCAACCTGCATGGTCAGCACCACATGCAGTGGCAAGAAGCAGACGATGAACACAATCAGGTTGGCCCAGATCATGCGGGTGGCCTTGCGGGTGGCCCGGGCCTGCCCTGTCTCAGCGGTTGGCCTCTGGGCTAGTGCTGTCACCACCTGCAGGGAGCAGAAAACCAGCACGGCCAGAGGCAGGTAGAAGCCGAGCAGTGAGAAGGTGGTGGAGCTAAAGTTGTGCCTCGAGTAGCTCCGGAAACAGAAGCCACCCTCCTGCTGCCCCAGGTACAGGCGGAGCAGTATGGAGCCGACCACCAGGACCCAGAGCACCAGACAGATGGCCACGGCCCGCCTCGGGGAGCGGAGTCTGAGGGCGTGTAGCGGGTGACGCACAGCCACGTAGCGGTCCACCGAGATGGCCATGATCAGGCTGATACTCATGTACCTGTTGACCATGTAAACGGTCTGCGAGAGCTGGCACCGCAGTGTGTCCTGGGTATCCTTCACGAAGGACAGCATGAAGGGCAGGGAGCAGAGCAGCAGGAAGTCCGACACGGCCAGGTTGGTCATGTACACGCGGGTCTCCGTCCACTGTGACATGCGGCGGCAGAACACCCAGAGTGCCAGGCCATTGAGCAGCAGGCCCAGCACCAGCAGCATCACTGAGTAGATTTTGATGAAGATCTTGAGTGCGTATGGCTCCATGAAGGTCTTGCAAGTAACGTTCATGGTCCCCAGGCTGTGTGAGAAGCGAAAGGTCAGTGGGGTGGCCCTACCCCTGCTCCAAGGCTGCCTGCACTGGCCTCCACTGCTGCACACAGACCCCAAGTTCCCAGAGCAATTAGAGACACTGTAAAAAGCTGAGGTCACCCTCAAGGCCAGCGCTGCCCTACAGATGGGTGGGAAACCGAGGACTTCGGAGAGGCCAGGTGAGTCCATGGCTGTGGAGCTGGGGCAGATCTCCTCTCCCGGACCACCTCATGCTCACCTGAGCCCTCCAGAGCACAGTGGTTGCCTTGGGCAGGTCAGCAAACCTTGCAGCCCATAGCTTGAGCTCGGAGGTGGTGCCACTCTGGCCTAAGGGTGCCAGACAGGTCCAGAGCAGAGTCTAGACTGCCTGCTGCCCCTTGGTGGCCCTGGCTGGGAGACACCTCTGTTCCATCACACCTGTTCCCAGTGAGCTATCACCCTCCCCTCCATCTGGGCTTTCTCTAACACAAAGGCCCAGCACAGCAAGGATGGTGTTCAGGACTGCTCCCCAGAAAGCTCCAGAGCTCTGGCTTTGGACATGGGCTGTGGACCTTTTGCTGTCTTGCTCCATCTCATCTCTTCAGCCTCCACCTCTGTGCTACAAAAAGTGACTTCCCCAGCAGCTCAAGCCCCATGTGTCCCCTGCGGTCTGCTGCACCTTCCTATGAAGGATTCTGCTTTCTCTCCTCTGCCACCCTGGCTCTGAAGCCCCTCAGAGGGACTCTGAGCCCCTCCCCACCAGCCACCATGTGCCTCTGCATCTCTCCAGCTTTGTTTCCTGTCTGCCCTGGCTGCCCCAGGGCCCTAGTCTTGAGCTCCTACTCAGAGCCCTGCAGGTGTGGGGGCTGTCGAGCCCTCGCCTAGCATGGTCAAGGCTTCAGGTTCCACTCCCAATACTACAAAAGCAAAGTGAAATGGAAAGAATCACGGCTATTTGTGGGGCACCCCGGCACCCATTCCCCATGATCTTCCCCAAGATCTCCCCTGGCCTGGGAGAGGCCGCCTTTGGCTGGGGGTGCCTGTGTGTGGCACTCCCCAATCGCTGGTGCCCTCGAGAAGGGAGAATCCTTAATGTCCACCATCCTCCCAGCTGTATAGAGATGTCCGCATCACACATTGGAGCCTGAGACTCCATCCACCAGCACAGCCCAGGGCCTCTCAGGGGAGAATATAAAGTCTGACCATAGTCTTTCAAATTTCCCATTCAGAATAAAACAAACAATGGGCTGTGCAGGAGAAGAATGCAAACTTTGGAGGAGTTCAAGGTCCGTCTGAGGCTCTGGCCTTAGTCCCTCAGGGTGGGTCCCAAGAGTCCAGGGGTCAGGCTCTAGGGACCTCAGGCCTCGTCCCTGCCATCAGGCACTCAGCAGCAATGTCTGATGCGGCCAGCACTCAGGGAGCTGCTGCCAGAGCCCTGGGCTGGGAAATGGTGGCTTTGGTCACTGTGACTTCTTGCCCAGGTGGGCATAGGAGTCCACTTCTAGGCCTTCTTCCTCTATGCTGAGACCGGCTCACTGTAAACATGGGAAGCTAAAAGCTGTCCTTGCTGGGCATTGCCCGTCATGGGGGGCGGGGGTGGCGCACAGGGATTGTCTGGCCTGAGAACTCTGCACAGGCCAAGCCATGGGGGCGGTATGGGCGAAAAGGCCTGGTCCTGAGTGACACAGGGCCTCAGGTAGGGTGACCAGCACCCAGCACCCACCCCATGTAGACACATAAGGACCTCAAAACTGGAACTCAGCTTGTGAAGCCTGTTACCTTTCCAAGAAGCCTCTACCCCCAAGGACCCAGGCTCCCAGCACAGGTCTCAACCCATGCTGAGGGACCCCAACCCTGACCAGCTCTGAGGGAGCCTGGCAGAGCCCTGGCCCACTCTGAGAGAGACCCAGCAGAGGTTCACTGCTGAGATCCTGCACCCCTGGGCCCCAACCACACCCTGGCACCCACCTGCTGTTACCAGAGGCCTCCAGGCTGAGTCCTGTAACCATTGAGCTGTGCTGCTTGTGAGGCCTGAAGGCACAGTGGGCTCGGTCACCCCCAGGCTGTGCCCCTCCTTGGGTGTGCAGGCCCAATGGGAAGGGTAGGCTGGGGTGGCAGCTCTTGGATGGAAGTGGGGCACCCCCAGCCTAGCAGTCTCCAGCATCTCCCAGAGCTGGTGTTTGCTCTGAACACAGTTCCAGAGGAGGCAGGGCCAGGGCGTGCAGCCCCGCCCTCGCAGGCTTCCCCTCCCGTGCCTGTGCAGAGCCCAGACAGGGCCTTGCCTGTGAGCCCCGCCTGTGGTCAGGAGCCGGCACCCCACACAGCTTCCTGGCAGGGGCAGCACAGCACACTGGACCTCACTCACACAGGCAAACCCCAGCCTGCAAGGGAAATCCAGACCATTTCCTCCCACCACTCTGCAATCCAAGCCTATCTCCTCAGAAGCTACCCCGGGAAAGCACCAGTCAGAGCACCCCCAAACTCCGAAGGTCTGGGGGAGGCTCACCTCGGAGCTGTCCCAGGCTATGGGGCTCCCCAAGCCCACCACTGCAGGCAGGGCTTCACCCCAGTTTGTGCTCCTCTGGCTTCCAATCTATCACTCTTCAAAGACTTCAAGGAGCTGGGAGAGACCCTCTCCCCACTCCATGGAGGTGGAAACTGAAGCCTTGAGGACAGGTGTGACTGGCCAGCCATGGTACAGTTTGTGTCGGATCTGACCTGCTCTGTAGCCCCTGACCTGGATCCCTGTCTGAGTCTTGAGTTCTAGGCCTGGCTCCCACCTTTCCTGTGCTGTGACCCCACACCCAGCCGACTCTTGCCAGTGGTCCCTGCAGACCCAGGGCACAGGGGGGCACTTAAGGCCCCCATGATGGGCAGGTCACGGGAGCCCACCCCGCGCAGTGGTGCTCAGTGGTGGACAGATGCCAGGTGCTTTCCAGGGCTTGGGTTTTCATCTGTCCCCGCTCCCAGCCTCAGAATCAACCCTCTGGGTTCCGCTGGCCTGGGCTCTATCCCCACCCTTCCACTGTCACCTGCAGCTGGACACCAGGGTAGTGTCCAGTGTTTCTCTGCCCCATGGGGTTCTCAATACCCCCACATTGGGAACTCAGAACTGGGGACCCCAGGAGTGCTGGGCAGAGCGCCTGAGCACTCATGCCTAGAAAGGGATTCTGGGCCTCATCCTGAGGCTTTGGGTCATGGTGGCCCCTGGGTGCCCAGGGCCACGTGGCCCAGTAAGACTGACCCTGCATTTGTCTGAAATGTTGGCACTTTAATTGGCATGGATTTTTGTGCTGGTTTTATTAACTAACGCACTCAGTGTTGTTCCATCTTGATAACAGTTTTAGGTCCACATCAGTGCCAGTGCCCACTTGTCCACTTTGAGACTCTGCCCCGGGGCTGGGGATTTAGCTCAGCGGCATAAGCGCCTGCCTTGCAAGCAGGTAGTCGTGAGTTCGATCCCCAGTATCAAAAAACAAACAAACAAACAAACAAAAAAGAGACTCTGCCCCAGGGGAGGGTGGGATAGCAGGGACTCGGCCACTCCCATGATACCACAAAGGGAAAGCGGGTGCAATGCTGATGTGACCCGCTGCCCGTCCTGGGACACTTTCAGTTCTCCTCTTCTCAGAGCCAGGCCTGGAAGTGACGCCCTCCTGGGAACTCCCCTCCCCCACCAGCCCACTCTCTGCCTGCCTCTGACGTGTGGGGACGGGGACAGGGTCCCACAGAGGGTGGGTGCAGGGGCAACATGAGGCCCACTGTTCAACCCTGGCCCATCGTGCAGCCCTGGCTTCTCAGCCCCTCCACATCACGGCCATGGCCTCCTCAAGTCCAGCTGGGTCCCTGTAGCCCCACAGGGAGCCAGGACCCCCAGATGAAAACCCCTCACACCCCCCCACACACACACCCCGGCTCCCCTCCTATATCCTCTCCTTGGTCCCCCAGTAAGCGGGTTCTCCATCAGCTGAGCCCCAGGTGTTCAGATGTGGCCTCTTCCCTCCTGAGAGCAACATCCAGGCTACTGCCCTATCCAGCTCTGTGTCACTTGTCATCACAACCTGGGCTTTCCAGGCTGAGCCCCTCTCCCCAATGGCTCTCCCCCATCCCTGCTTCAGTGTCCCCCCAGTGCCAGTGTAGAGCACTGGCAAGGAGGAGCCAGTCCGTGCCCTCAGGAAGGAGCCAGTGTGGATCCTGCCCTTGCAGGTCTCCTTTGGAATGGTTCCTGCAGGCCCCGTGGGCTCCTGCAGTGGGAAAGCTAAAGCAGGATACTGGTAGGACCCGCTCAAAACCCTGGGGACCCTCTCAGAAGCCCTCATGCCCTCCAAACTTCAATACCCCCAAGACCTCCTCCAGGACTCTCTCAGGACATCTTGGTCCTCTTGTGTCCCAAGCCGCCCCATGGCAACTTCGCCCTCCTTCCACAGCCCCTCCAGCACCTGGGGCTCAGCCAAAGACTGTCAGAGGCCCTGCTGCTGGGCAGCATCCCAGTGGGCTTTCAGGGTCCCCAGGGGAAGCCAGCAGGGAGCAGGCACCAGAGCTGCCTGGGTAGGGAGTCCACCACAGGAGAAGCCAGGTGGGCATCTCGGCCCCCGTGGCTGGTGACGGGGATCGGGCAGGGCTTGGCCTCTGTGTTCCCTGGACTCTCCACACCAGTGCCACACTCTGAATTAATTCAGGAGGGAAATGCAAGCATATGGCCAGATGGTGCTGAAGGGGTCCGAGGACCAGGCCAAAGGCCATGAGGCACCCCAGAGGTCTCTCGAGTCCCATCCCATTCCACCCATGCTCAGCCATGTTGTGCTGCCCTGTGGATCAGGGCAAAGGAGCAAGAACCATCACTGCTCTCGGGGACCCCATCCCCCCAGCCACTTCCTGCAGACCAAAGACACTTGCTGCAATCCTGAAGTGAGAAGTGTGAGTTCTGGGAAACTGGCAGCATCACTTCTCCTCATCAGGTGGCAGAGGCCCGGCATGTGTAGCGCTGAGAGCGAGGGGACACTGGCACCTGCAATGCCTTGTGTGTAGGGTTGGCTTCAGAGCAATGGAAATATTTGGGCAACTACCAACTTAAGTTTTAAGGGGATTTCATAACATTGAAAACAAATGAATCTAACTGATTTGCATTTTCAAGGGACAATATAACCCTATCACCAGATCCTTCCAAGTGATCATAAAACCCAATTATTTGGGTTTTATATTAGCCTTCTTCCAAAAAGAATGACAAAATATTGCTTTATTTTTAGTAATCACTTTCCAAATAATTTTAAAACACTGTTTTGTCTCTACCTTGATATAATCCATCTAAATTAGCTACATGACACTGTTCTGTCTGTACAAACACAAGGTGTGGGGGTTGGGGATTTAGCTCAGCGGCATAAGCGCCTGCCTTGCAAATGCATGGTTGTGAGTTTGATCCCCGGTACCAATAAAAAAAAAAATACAAGGTGTGATAAAGACACGGTGATCGTTTAAATTTTTAAAAGTTTATTACAAAGCTGGGGATGTAGCTCAGTGGCACAAGTGCCTGCCTGGCAAGCACAAGTTCCTGAGTTTGATTCCTGGTATTAAAAAAAAGTATTAAAGTAAAAGACATATTGTAATAATCCTGCACAAAATATTCTACTTCACCTAGAATACTCATTCCATCATCCTGGCCACTTTCTGCAGCAGCTCTGGAGTCTTCTTTCCTGAGCGTCGTTAGCTGTGCTGTCCTGGCTGCCTCAACGTCCTGAATCCATTAGAAATGTTTTCCTTTCATGGTCATTTTGACTTTAGGGAACAGGCAGAAGTCTCACAGTGCCAGAAGACACATGGCCATGTCTCTGCAAAGTTGACCCTGGTGGATGGCTCACAAGAGCAGCACACATTGTATTTTTGACCACACCTCATAAAGACAGTCACGAAAGAGGATTTCCAGAACTGCTTCAAAAAGTGGCAAGAGGGGCTGGACATTTAGCTCAGTAGCATAAACACCTGCCTGGCAAGCATGAGGTCATTAGTTAGGTCCCCAGAACCAAAAAACAAAAGTGTCAAGAGTGATGTGATCAGTGTTCAAAGCAACACTGGGACAAACCTTGAGGAGGAATAACAGCAATGTGCCTTTTACTCTAATAAAGAAAAAATGTTTTTAAGTCAGGGTTTTGCTGTGTAGTTTAGGCTGGCCTCAAACTCATAATGATCCTCCTGCCTCAGCCTCTCCAGGGCTGAGATTATGGGAAAGTGCCACCATGTAGGGCTCAGTTCTAATAAATTTTTTTGGTATGGGGGATCAAACTCATGAACTGGGGGTCTTTGCACTGAGGTACACCTCTAACCCTCATTTAATTTCTATTTGACGACTATGTCTTGCTAAATCTCCAGGTTACCCAAGTTGGGCTCTAAATTTGGATTCTCCCAGAGTGCTGGGCTGACAAGTGCATGCCAATGGTTTTTGTTTGTTCGCCTCATTCTATTTTACCTCCCAAAGATGGGGATTATGCACACCCTGGGCAGCAGGGATGCTGAGACCTCCTAGACGCTGCAGTCACCTTGACAATCACTGGCAGCCGCTAGCATCAAATAAGTGTACTCTGGTGGAAATTCACACTTTGGACACGGTCTCACCAACACCAAAACCCACCCGGGGTGCCCAGCAGCTGGCGGTGACTGCAGTAAGGGAGACTTGTGGGCCCAGGCCTGGGCTGACACCTGAGCAAGCATTGGGTCCTGTCCATGGGCAACACAGTATAGGCCAGAGGACATGAAAAAAGAAGATGTAGACAGGCCAGGGACCTGTCAGTGGGACACACAGGCTTCTCTGGCTCTCAATTATCTGTGGGAATGGAACAGGCTTTGGGGACACAAACAGAGCGTCACAGCTGAGCAGAGTCCTGCTCTGCACCGCAGCAGCACAGTTGAGGGCTAGATGGAAGGAGCTTGCTGGCTCCAGTGTCCCAGAGTGGCACAGGTAGGAGCTAGAGGACACCCAGGCCCAGGTCTGCACTGGGGGCTGCAGGGAAGGAGCAGAGGCTGGAGTAGAAAGATCCATGGTTAAGCTCGGTATGGTGGCATTGAAATCCCAGTGCTGAGGCAGGACTGCCAGAGGTTCAGGGCTAGCCTGGGCCACACAGTGAGTTCAAGGCCAGCCTGCAGTACAGAGGGAGACTCTGACTCAAACAAAACAAACAAACAAACAAACAAACAAACAAAAAAAAAAACGAAGGAGGTTTGGAGGACAGCAAGGTGCACTGTGGCAACTATGGGGGAGGGATCGCCTTCTGTCTTGCCTTAAATCCAGTGTTTTGTTCTGTTTTACTGTTTTGTTTTATTCCTGCATCTGGTAATCTGAGCAACTATTTTGAAGATAACAATATGCAGTAAAACAACCATTGTTAAATTCTTATCATCTTGTTTTGAAAACCTATATATCTATTATTGGTGTTTTTTGTTTGTTGTTATTTTGCTTTTGTTGCTTTTTAGGTTTGTTTGCTTAATTGTTGTTTTTTCTTTAAAATACAATTTAAAAAAAGAAAGAAAGGGAAGGGAAGAAAGGGAGGAGCCACGGTTGATGGGGACAAGGCTCAGCCCACAGAGGGCAGGTGGTGGCTGTGCCAGGCTGTCTCCACTGTCCCAGAGTGGCCAAGTCTTGCTGCAGCCACGGTTGGGCCTGAAACATCACCCATCTGCCTCCCATCCTGTCCAACCAAGGAAATTGTTTTTAGTGTAGGCTGGGAATCCAGGCCAACCTCTCCCAGGGTAGCAGGGCAGCCTCCTGGCAGGTCTCTCAGATAAAGAGTGATAACAGTAGTCATCTATTTAGCAAATATCTTCGCTCATACTCAATAACATGACACCTGGCATCAGTCAATGGATGGGAGGAAGCAACACAGATGGGCAGGGGGCACTGGGCACTGGGATTAGTTACGCTCTGTCTATTTGCATGCATCTGAAATTTCTGAAAAGGTTAAAAGCAAAGATGGCCAGACACCCCACTACATACCCATTGCACATGCAGAAGCACAGTGTGACTCATTTTTTACTTCAGCAGGGCTGCTGCTGGGCCTCAAGAGGGTTCTGGGGGGACGATGCCTAAGAAGGGTCTGGGTGCTGGCAGCAGGTGCTGGTCAGGGGGACTATGCTGGGCCTCACTGGTCTGGTGCAGCAGGTGAAATATGCCCCCCCATATACATGTGCATACCCAGAAACACATGTACTCATGTGCACATGCATGCATGTGTGTGCACATAGGTGTATATGTGTGCACTCAGCTGCATGTAAGTAGATACAATATGCATATACCATGTATATACATGTAAGTACACATGCATATACGTGCATCTATACAGATGCATACATATGTATACACACCGTGTACACACGTGTACACATTACACATCTTATACATTCACACACATGCACACATGCAGACACATACATTCAATTATATGCATGGACATGCACATACCTGCACACATACACACGTGCATATGTATACTGTACCCCTGATATACACATGTGCCAAGTACACAGGTGCATACATATGCACATGCATGGAAAGAACAGGTTTGGCCAGCCCCAGCCAAGGGGGTAGAGCTGCCATTCTGGCTGCTTCAACGTGGTCCAGTTCCAGAAGGATCCAGCTGAGCCAGAGCTACCTGGTGCCTGAGAGTTGGAGCCCAGTCTATGGGGGCAGTAGGGACCTGGGGCAGAGGTCTCCTCAGAACCAGGAGCCTGGTGACCCCAACTTTGTAGGTGCCAGTCTCTGCACCAGCAGCAACCCGTGCTGCACAATGGGATTCAGGGCCCAGGAGGTCCAGGGCCAGGATCAAGGCCCCAGAGAAGCCCAGAAGACAGCATGGAAAGGAC